GACGCGGCGTGCCGCCACGGGGGCCCCGCGGCGGAGGGCCCGGGACGCAGCAGGCGCACGCGAGAGTCGGCGGCGAGCGAGGGGGGGAACGGGCTCGGGAGGGCCCTCTCAGAATCCAAGATCTACTGGCCCGGGGCAATGCAGACCCGGGTCAGTCGGGCGTTGCAGGATCCTGCGGGCGCCCCTGGACCTGCGGGACCCTGCAAGATCCGGCGCCCTGGCAGACCCCCCGTGCGCATCGACCCCCGTTCCTCGAGCCCCGAAGACGGCGGCGGGGCTTCTCAGAAGCCCTCTGGACTTCTGAGAGGTGTGGTGCGTCTTCGAGGAAGGCTCATAAAAGTTCTCAGAAGGCCCGGGGAAATCCAAGCCTTCTGCAAAGGCCCGCGCCTCCTCACTCCCCCTCTGGGCTCGCCGCCGAGATAAGAAATCAGGCAAGCCCCCGAGCTTCTGGGAATCCCTGGCGCCATCGGGCGAGACGAGATGTGCTGGTAGGCCGATTTCTTACCTGGTGTGCCTACTCTACGGGCAAACAAAAATAACGAACAGCCCTCGGGGTCTTCGTCGCACCAAACTTCCCGCCCAGGCTGAGATAGAGTCCACCAACCGGGCGGGGATGAAAAAACAGAAATCGGAAAGCGTTAACACGGATGTGCAACATGTCCTACGTCGAGCGAGCGCTGCCGCTCATGGAAATCTGCGTCGCTGCTCCAGGGGCGAGCGCCTGCGTCGCCCCAAATCGTGACCGAGGACGGCCGGGGCGAAAAAGCGTAGCGCAGCCAGTGGTGCAACGCAACTTGCGCTTCGGGCGAGGAGATCTGTACCCATCTACCGCCGATGGCCAGGCTCATTAGGGGGCCAGATGCGAACCCTACCCCTGCCCCCCACGATTTCTGAAGGGCAGGGTGGGGTTCACTTCGTTCGGGAGCTCCCGAACAGAGGGAACCCCACCCTCCCCCTCAGGAATCGTGGGGGGCAGGGGTCGGGCTCGCATGTGGGCCCCTGCTCATCCTGGGCCCAGGGGGCGTAACAGACCGCTCCTGGGCCCAGGACGTGCCTGGCCAGCGGCGGTGGATATGCACCCAGACATCCGACGTCTCGATTTTTTTGAGACGCGGGCCCCCGACCTCCCGACCACTTCCCTGGGACCGGTTTTTCATCCCGAATCGTTTTTTGACGGTCCCGAGGCCCGGCGAGGGCCCCGAGAGGCCAAAAACTATGAAAAACCTCTGTCTCGATTTTTGTCGAGACGCCCGAGGTCTGGGCACAGGTCTCGTCGCCCTGGTGTATCGGCCGCACGATCGAGCACGGTCGACGTAACAGTCCTGAGGATCGAGCGCCACCGCTCCGATGGGGCCGGGCCTCCGACCCCGCACAAGGGCGGGGTCAGAATTGTCGCCCACCGCTCCCGCGCCCTCGCGCTACAGTTCGAGCTGCGGAGGCTTTTGGGAGCAGCGGCGAAAGTCGGGTCGGGCGAAAGGGGGGGATAGCAAAGGGGGGGTTTGAGAATCAGCTCACGTAGCTGATTTTCCCGGCGCCTCCTGGCGCCGGAGGCGACCATGTATCGAGGAATGGGCCCCTCGGTGGGGCCGAAACCAGCTGCATGCAGCAAATTTCGTAACCCCCCCTTTCCCAATCCCCCCCTTTCGCCCGACCCGAGAAAGTGCACAAAAAACTGGGTGCGGCCCGTGAGGGCCGCTGTTCGTCGCATTGGTCACGTGCTCGGGAGCAGCAGTTCGGCTGCGCACGCAGCAACAGCAGCAGTCTCGAGAGCGGACGAGCACGCGAGCGTTCGAGGCTGGTCTTGTGATGGATCGTGCCTCGTGGTCCCTACCGGCGCGAGCACCTGCGTCGCCAACGTGCCTGCAACTACTATAATAGGGACGGGGGCGAAAAAGGCTCGGGCACCGCCAGCGGAATGCAAGGACGAAGACCGCCGAAAGAAGGCAAGTACACCGCGAAGACCGACGGCGTCATGCCCCTCCTCGTCCCCCCCCCCTTCGGCTCTTCGTCTCCTCCCCACGCCCCCGCAAGAGGCGATCACGCATCCCCAGCGCATCCTTCAAAGCAAGACCGCCCGGCCACGTGAGGGGAGGCCACCGAGGCATGCGGTGTCGAGATCCGAGGCGCGGGCGGGAAAGAGAAAGAGTTGCTGCGAGCGCGGATCGGGCACGGCAGAGGGAGCACACACCGCGCCCGCCGCTCAGGCGGCCTCTGTCCCTCGCGGGGTCTCTCGACAGGGGCAGCCCGCGGCGCCGCCCTCCAGAACGAAGGGCCGGAAGTCCGGGTTCCGCACGCGCCGCGTGCGGGGGCTGTCCCACTTCGCCGCGTTGGCGGCGAGCCCCTGCAGCGCGGCCACGGAGACGTCGAGGCCGCATGGACTGGCCGCGCGGCCTGCGCAGCGCGGGCGCCCGTGCCACGCCTGGTGGAACTCGGCGGCCGCCGCGTGCGACGTAAAGTTCAGGAAGGCGTGGCCGAGGTTGTGCCCCGAGGCGAAGTCTCGGGGCATGTAGCAGAAGTTGAATTTACCTACAAAGCCAGAGCGGCTGACGTCGTCGAGCAACTTGCGCTGGGTCACCTCGCGGGGCAGGCTGCCCAGCATCAGGGTGGTCACCCCCGCGGGCAGCGTCCTCGGTGCCTGCGGAGCCGCCCTCGCGACCAGACCTTCGCTCGCATCCGCGGCCGCCTCCCTCGCCGCCGCCTCCTCTGCCGCCTCCAGGGCCGCGAGCGCTGACTCGGCGGCCTGCATGGCGGACTCGAGGCTGGCGGCCCTCGCCTGAGGCGCCGCGAGCGCCGAGCCGGCGGCCAACAGGGAGCACGACTGGCCGGCCGCCTCCACCGGCAGGCCCTGGGCCCCCGCCGGGCGCCGCCAGGGTGGCAGCAGCCCGGCCGCACGGGCAGCAATCGAGCCCACGGGCATCGGGGGCGCCTGGCCGCCCAACCAGCGCGGCCCCTGCAGGGCAGGCACGCCGGCCAGTGGCGCGCGCATGGCCGGCCAGGGCGGCGCCAGCGCCTGGGGACACCAAAAGGTATACAGGTACCGCTGCTCGCCGGGGACTCTCCCATCCCAATTATTAGACTGCGTTCTGACCAAGAGTTCGAGGCGACTCCAGCGGCGGCGACGAGGGCCTCCCAGGCAGCCCCGGAAGGGGGAAAAACGGGCAAAGGGCAGCGGTGTGCCCATACCCCCGACGTCATGATTATTCTCTTGCACAGCTGTGCTTTAGAGCTCGGACATCTTTATTCTCTTGCACAGCTGTGCTCTTGAGCTCGGACCTCTTTATTTTCGTGGTTCGTTCGTTCGTGGTTCGTCGTCCTCCCTGGCCCTCTCGGGCCCTGGACCCCCCCCTCCCCCGAGCCTCCCAGGATTACCCGCTCGTTCGTGGTTCGTCGTCCTCCCTGGCCCTCTCGGGCCCTGGACCTCCCCCTCCCCCGAGCCTCCCAGGATTACCCGCTGGCCTGCCCCTGGCCACCTCGGGCCCTGCACCCCCCCCCGGGGTTCCCAGAATCACCCGCTGGCCTGCCCTGCTTCCCTGGGGCCTGGACCTCTCCTCCCCACGGGCCTCCCAGGGCAGCCCCTCTGGGCCGCCGAAACCATTATTTTCGTGGTTCGTTCGTTCGTGGTTCGTCGTCCTCCCTGGCCCTCTCGGGCCCTGGACCCCCCCCTCCCCCGGGCCTCCCAGAATCACCCGCTGGCCTGCCCCTGCTTGCCTCAGCCCTCGACCCCTCCTTCCCCCGAGCCTCCGAGGGCAGCCCCGCTGGGCCGCCGAAGCCTTTATTTTCGTGGTTCGTTCGTTCGTGGTTCGTCGTCCTCCCTGGCCACCTCGGGCCCTGGACCCCCCCCTCCCCCGAGCCTCCCAGAATCACCCGCTGGCCTGCCCCTGCTTCCCTGGGCCCTGGACCCCTCCTGCCCACGGGCCTCCCAGGGCAGCCCCCCTGGGCCGCCGAAGCCTTTATTTTCGTGGTTCGTTCGTTCGTGGTTCGTCGTCCTCCCTGGCCCTCTCGGGCCCTGGACCCCCCCCTCCCCCGGGCCTCCCAGGATCACCCGCTGGCCTGCCCCTGCTTGCCTCAGCCCTCGACCCCTCCTTCCCCCGAGCCTCCCAGGGCAGCCCCACTGGGCCGCCGAAGCCTTTATTTTCGTGGTTCGTTCGTTCGTGGTTCGTCGTCCTCCCTGGCCACCTCGGGCCCTGGACCCCCCCCTCCCCCGAGCCTCCCAGAATCACCCGCTGGCCTGCCCCTGCTTCCCTCAGCCCTCGACCCCTCCTTCCCCCGAGCCTTTTAGTTTCGTCGTGGTTCGTGGCTCGTCGTGGTTCGTCCCCTCGGCCCCTCCCCTGAGCCTGCGCCCCAGCTCCCCTGGGCCACCCACCCTTCGGAGGCTTGCTCCGTCCAGGCTTCCCAGGACAGCCCCCCTGGGCCGCGGACATCCTTATTTTTGTCGTGGTTCGTGGTTCGTTGTGGTTCGTCCCCCTCGGCCCCTCCCCTGAGCCTGAGCCCCTGCTCCCCTGGGCCACCCCCCCTTGTGACCCCCCCTCCGTCCAGGCTTCCCAGGGCAGCCCTCCTGGGCCGCGGAACCCTTTACTTTCGTCGTGTGTCGTGGCTCGTCGTGGTTCGTCCCCCTTGGCCCCCCCCTGAGCCTGAGCCCCGGCTCCCCTGAGCCACCCACCCTTGGAAGCCTTCCTCCGTCCAGGCTTCACAGTCCTTCGCAGCTCTTTTGTGCAAGAACCAGGGCACGCGTGCCACTTGTTTCACGACGCCGAACCTGGATCTCTCGATACATTCCTTCCCCAGGACCGGTTTGTCATCCCGAGTCGTTTTTTTGTTTGACGGCCCCGAGACACGGGAAGGGCCCCCCGAAACCGAAAAACTCAAAAGCCTTCCATGGTGATTTCTGTCATGACTCGAGGGGGCCTGGGTGGGTACCGCTTTCCTCCTCTGAACACCTGTGCCGGCGACTGCCCTGCGGCCCCCGGCGGCGGCGCCGCCGCGCAGGAGGCCGCGCCCGCCTGCCACGGCCACGGCAGCACGGCCGGCGGCGGGGCCAGCGCGCTCGGGGCCGCCGCCGCGGGCGCGCTCACGGCGCGGCCCGTGGGGGTCGTGGCGAGGACCTGCAGCGGCGGCAGCGCTCCGCACGCGGCATGGCGAGGCCAGCCCTCCCCTCCGGCCTCTGCCCCGGCACAAGCGGCGGGCTCGGGGCCGCGCGTGCGGCGGCTGCAGGGCGACCACTCGTACCTGGGGAAGCCCGAATCAAGTACCGCAGGGCGCGGTCTGACGAGGCCTTCGAGGCGCACCTGGCTGTAGCGACGAGGTCTTCCCAGGAGGCCGAGCCACGGCGCAAGGATAGCGGTACCCTGAGATCTGACGTAGACATAAAAGTGTAGACAAAGAATTGCAACATCGTGGAAAATCGCGCCCCGAGCCCTAGACTCCATCCTCCTGTGCCATTTTATCCAGCCGGATCCATCTGTGAGGGTCCCCAGGTCCGAAAATGCGCGAAAACGCCCAGCTCGAAAAACACTGAGACGCCATGATCCCGTGGAGAGGCCGAACCACGGCGCAAGAGCAGCGGTGCCTTCTCCCCCCTCCCTAGGTGCCCCTCCTCGCCGTCGCTGTCCGTGTCCTGGCGAGACCGAAAGGTACCGAAGGGTGCGCTCTGAAGGGCTTCGAAGCGAATCCAGCGGTGGCGACGCGAGGGCCTCCCGGGAGGCCCAAGGGCGTGCAAGACTCGCATCCGTATCCAGTGCCTCTTGGACTTTTTTGGGAAGCGGCGCCACAAGGCCGAGGCGCACTGGATATGGATGAAAATCGAGCCTCTAGGGGGCAAGTGTATCCATATCCAGTGCGCCTCGGGTTCCTTGGGAAGGGAGCCCGAAACTCCATACTGCAGTGGATATAGACAGAAGTATTGCCCGCACCAAGCAGGGGAAAACCCGCGACAAGTAGGGGTGTGGGTGCCTTTCCCTCCCCTGGGGTCCGGCCACGGCTCCGCCGCGCCGTCCCCCGCGGTGCTCGGGGCCTCCGAGGCCTGGCTCCCGGGCGCGGCGGTGGAGAGAGAAAGAGAGAGAGAGAGAGAGAGAGAGAGGAGAGGGAGAGGGAGGGGAGGAGGAGGAGGAGGAGGAGGAGGAGGAGGAGGAGGAGGGAGGAGGAGGAGGAGGAGGAGGAGGAGGGGAGGAGGAGGAGAGGGGAGGAAGAGGGGAGGAGGGGAGGGGGGGAGGAGGAGGTGGAGGAGGTGGCGGAGGAGGAGGAGGAGGAGGAAGAGGAGGAGGAGGCCTGGCTCCCGGGCGCGGCGGTGGAGCCCTCCGAGGCCTCGGAGGCGCAGGGCGCCGCGCCTGGCGAGGCCGCGCGGCGCGCGCGGCCCGGCTCCGGGGCGTCCTGCAGCGTCCTGTGAGCTGAAGTCGGGCCTGTCCCCCTATTCGGGCGTGGCTCAATGGGGGGGTCACAAATGGGGAAACAGAGAAGGTCCTCTTTCGTGCCCCTTGCGGGCCTCTCCGGAGCCCCAGGGTCTCGTTTAGGTACCCTGTGGGTACCTTTTCGGGCCACCCTCGCCGCCCCCCCCATTTACGACCCCCCCATTACGCGGCGCCCAACCTATGGCCGAACAATGCAGTCCGGTCGTTGACCCAAGGAACCCTAAGTAAGGAACGAGGCCCCTTTATCCCATCCGTTAAAGTTCGAATTCCCATCGAAAACCTGAGGAAAACCTAAGGCAAACTGTGGAACAATCAAGGAACACAGAGCCCCTCCCCAACGAAAAGGGTTCCTTCTTCAGCGCCCCGACTGTAGAGCATACCCCAAAAATACTCCCCAAATGCTCAAATCATAAAAATAGTCCCAATACTATCTGTGTCACTATTTCTGAATCTTCCCCCTGTAGAGGGACATGCGCGACATAACTGTGAGCAGAGGCTGAACCAGAGTTAGGTCGGGCGTGTCCTCCTACAGGTGGCTTTCGCATGAAACATTCAAACTTAGCCTGGCGGAAATACCAACCGTCTGCCGTTGTGGGCACCGTTGTTGTATGCACCACGCTCGGTGGAGCTCCCCATGAGGTTACCAATCGTGTGAATGGGTGCGTCAATGTGGGTGCGGTGGGTGGACACTGGCATGTGGGCCTTCGGTGGGGTTCCGTATGGGGCCACGAAACGTGTGAGGGACGTGCCAAAATGAGCGCGGTGGGCGCATGCGAGTGCTGGCATTTGGGCCTTCGGTGGGGCTCCCTGTGGGGTCACGAAGCGTGTGACAGGTGTGCAAAAAAAGGTGCGGCGGGCGCGTGCGAACGTTGGCATTTGGGCCTTCGCTGGGGATCCCTGTGGGGCCACCAAACGTGTGAGTGTGCCAGAATGGGCGCGATGGGCGCTTGCGAACGCTGGTATTTTGGCCTTCGGTGGGGCTCCCTATGGAGCCACGAAGCGTGCGAAGTGCGTGCCCAAATGGGCGCGCTGGGCGCATGCGAACGTTGGCTTTTGGCCTTCAGTGGGGTTCCCTGTGGGGCCACGAAACGTGTGAGTGGTGTGCAACATGGGCTCGGTGCGCCCATGCGAACGCTGGCAATTGGATCTTCGGTGGGGCTCCCTGTGGGGCCACGAACCGTGTGACGGGTTTTGCCAAATTGGCGCGGCCGGCGCCTGCGAACGCTGGCACGTGGCTCTTCCCGGGGGCTCCATGTGAGGCCCCGAAACGTGTCATTGTGGCCAACATGGGTGCGAGAGATGCATGCGGACGCTGGCATGAGGGCCTTCGGCGGGGGCTCCCGATGGGGCGACGAAGCGCCTGACGGGTGCGCCAAACATGGGCGCGGTGGGCGCATGCGAACGTTGGCAGTCGGGCCTTCGGTGGGCTGGGCACCTGGTGAGGCCTCTGAGCGTGCGATGGGGTGCCCCGAAAAAAAGGCTGGGGTGGCTTCGCGTGAACGCGGCGATCTGAGCTTTCGGTCGGGTTCCCTGTGGTGTCACGAGACGTGCAGGGGGCGTGGGCGCATGCGAACGTTGGCATGTGGGCCTACGGTGGGGCCTCATGGGGCCCAGAAGCGTGTGAGGGGCGTGCCAGAATGGGTGCGGTGGGCGCGCGCGGGCGCTGGTATTTGGGTCTTCGGTGGGGCACCCTGTGGGGCCCGAGACGTGTGACGGGTGTGCCCAAAACGGGCTCGGTGGGTGCATGCGAACGCTGGCATTTGGGCCTTCGGTGGTTCGCTGTGGGGACACGAATCCTGTGACAAGTGTGCCAACAAAAGGGTGCGGTGGGCGCATGCAAACGGTGGCACTTGGGTTTTCGCAGGGGCTCCCGGTGGAGCCACGAAATGTGTGAAGGGTGTGCCAAAATGGGCGCGGTTGGCGCATGCGAGTGCTGGCATCTGGGCCCTCCCTGAACTCCCCCTTTATGGGGCCCGCTATGGGCGCGTGCGAACGCTGGCATGTGGGCTTTCGGTGGGGCGCATTCTGGGGCCACGAACCGTGTGAGGGGTGTGCCCACATGGGCGCGGTGAACGCACGCAAACACTGGCAGGTTGGTCTTCGGTGGGGTTCCCTACGGGGCCCCGAAACGTGTGAGGGGTGTGCCAAACTGGGTGCGGTGGGCGCATGCGAACGCTGACGTTTGGGCCTTCGGTGGGGTTCCCCGCAAGGCCACGAAACGTGTGAGGGGTGTGCTGAAACGGGTGGTGGCGATGATGATATAGGGATGATGAAGCGGGAGGAGGAGGACCGCGGGGCGTTGCCTCTTCAAAACGAAGACCCAACACCACAGGATGGTTGGGAAACAATCAAACTGTCACAAGCAAGTGTCATCATTAGCCTAGCGAAGAAACCGACCATACGCAATGGCGGGCACACAGGGCGCGCAGCGTGTGCGGGGTATGCCAAAATGGGCTCGGTGGGCGCATGCGGAAGCTGGTATGTTGGCCTTCGGTGGGGCTACCTTTGGGGCCACGAACCGTGTGAAGGGAATGCCACACTGGGTGCGGTGGGCGCATGTGAACGCTGGCGTGGGGGTCTTCGACGGGGCGCCTCATGGAGCCACGAACCGTTTGAGTGGTGTGCCAAAATGAACTCGTTGGATGCGTGCGAACGCTGGCATGTTGGCCTTGGGTAGGGTTCCTTGTGGGGTCTCGAAGGGTGCGACAAGCGTGCCAAACAAAGGGTGCGGTGGGCGCGTGCGAACAGTGGCATGTGGGCCTTCGGTGGGGCGGCTCCATGTGGGGCCCCGAAACATGTGAAGGGTGTCCCCCAAATGGGTGCGGAGGGGGCGCGTGCGAACGCTAGCTTTTGGGCCTTCGGTGGGGTTCCCTATGGGACAACAAAACGTGTGAGGGGTGTGGCACAATGGGCGTGGTGGGCGCATGCGAACGCTGGCATTCGGACCGTCGGTGGGTCTTCCTGTGGGCCACGAAACGCGTGAGGGGTGTGTGTGTGTGCCAAAATGAGCTCGGTGGGCGCACGCGATCGCTGGCAGTTGGGTCTTCGGTGGGGCCCTCTATGGGGGCACGAAACGTGTCAGGAATGTGCCAAACATGGGCGCGGTGGGCGCACGCGAACGCTGGCATTGTGGCCTCCCGTGGGGCTCGCGATGGAACTGCAAAATGTGTAACAAGTGTGGTGGGCGCATGCGAACGTTGGAGTGCGGGCCTTCGGCGGGGATCCTTGTGGGGCCACGAAACGTGTGAGGGGAGTGCCAAAATGGGTGCGGTGGGCGCACGCGAACGCTGGCATGTGAGCCTTCGGTGGGGCCACAAAACGTGGGAGATGTGCCAAAATGGGTGTGGCGGGCACATGCGAACGCTGACGTATGGGCCTTCGGTGAAACTCCGTATGGGGCCACGAATCGTGTCAAAAGTGTGTGTGTGTGTGTGTGCCAAAATGGGCTCGGTGGGCGCACGCGGGCGCTGGCAATCGGGCGTGCGGTGGGGCTGGCGCACGCGGGCGCTGGCAATTGGGCGCCTGTGGGGCACGTGAGGGGCGTGCCAAAATGGATGGGGTGGGCGCATGCGAACGCTGGCAATCTGGCTGTCGGTGTGGCGGCTCCGCGTGGGGCTCCGAAGCGTGCCAAGGGGAATGCCACACTGGGTGCGGTGGGCACGCGCGAGCGCTGGCATGTGAACCTTTTTTTGTTCAAAAGGGTTCCCTATGGGCCACGAAACGCATGCGTGGCGTGCCAAAGTGGGTGCGGCGGGCGCGTGCGAACGCTGGCATTTGGGCCTTCGCTGGGATTCCCCGTGGGCCCACGAAACGTGTCAGGAGTGTCCCCAACATGGGCGCGGTGGGCGCATGCGAACGCTGGCACTTGGGTCTTCGGTGGGGCCCCTTGAGGGACCACGAACAGTGAGAGGGCAATGCCACCATGGGTGCGGTGGGCGCATGCGAACGTTGCCAGTTGGGCCTGCGGTGGGGCTCCGTGTGGAGCCACGAGACGCATGAGGGGTGTGCCAAAATGGGTGCGGTGGGCGCACGCGAAGTCTGACACTTGGGCCTTCAATGGGGACACCTATGGGGCCACGAAACGTGTGAGGGGTGTGCCAAAGCGAGGAGGGGACGGGAGAAGGGGGGAGGGAGGGGAGGGGAGGAGGGGGCAGCGGGAGGAACGCGGGGACCATCTCTTCAAAACGAAGACCCAACACCACAAGACGGTTGGGAAATAACGCAACATCCTACCAGACCATTTTCTAATTTTGAATATTCTTCCTGTAGAAGGACATGCCTGACTTGAGACTACCGAGCCGAGCCACCCCAAAATTGACGTGTTCGTCGAACCTGCGGAGGCTGCGTGAAACGTGCCATACATCTCTGCGGAACATTCTGCGTTTTTTCGGCAGGATCGACGGGAACACTCAATGTTGGGGGGTAGATCGATCATTTAGTCGATCCCCGAAAGCCAACCCGTACCATAAGATGCGCGGTAAGGATGCAAGACCCTTGGAAGCCCATCTTGAAGCTTCTCGAGCTGGGCGCGGCCAGCGGAAGTGGTCAAGGATGGACCCGAGGAACCAAGGATGCAAGGGTACCCTTGGGAAGGATGGACCGAGGAACCAAGGATTGACTGCACTCGAATCCTCAGGTGGTGGGGCGTGTACCCGGAGTGGCTGTGGCTGCGCTTCCGCTCCGGCGGCCGCTCGTCCCAGACCTGGAAGGTGTTGCCGAGGGGCGCCAGGCGGGGCTCGGCGCAGGTGAGCGCCATCCTGCCCAGAGAACGGTGCAGGCAGGTCTGGTGGGCAGGCGACTGGAGCTCGGGGCCGCGTCCCGGCGGAGCGTGCGAATGAAAAAAAAAAAACACCTCGAGCCCACGCAGCGCCCGAGCCAACGAACCCGACAGGCTCCCAAGAGGCCCGCAAGAGGCTCCCAAGGGGCCCCCAAACTGCCCCCCCGGAGGCCCCCGAGAGCGCTTCCAAGAGACCCCAAGAAGCATCCACGAGGACTCTGACCCACATCAGCGTCGTCGTCGTCGCCACCGCCGCCGTCCTCGTTCCCCCTTCAGGGTCGGCGGCACCGGCCGTAAGGCCTTCGCCCCATAAGAACACCTCGAGCCCAAACAGCCCGAGCCAACGGAGAGGCCGCGCCACCCTACAGCAGTTGCTGCGGCTGGCTCGCGTCGTGACCTCGGCGCTAGTACCGCGTGGGCCGTTCACCTTGCACCACCTGCGACCTTCGGGTCGGGCGAAAGGGGGGGACAGCAAAGGGGGGGGTTGAGAATCAGCTCACGCAGCTGATTTTCCCGGCGTCGCCCGGCGCCGGGAGGCGCCCACGTATCGAGGAATGGGCCCGGCGGTGGGGCCGAAACCAGCTGCATGCAGCAAATTTCGTAACCCCCCCTCTCCCAATCCCCCCCTTTCGTCCGGCCCGAGACCCCTCGATGGTTGCGTATCAGCTGATTCTGGGCCACTGGCGGAGTTCCACCTGGAGCGCCCGCGGCGTGGTCGCTGCCGCGTCGGCACGCCACGAACCTGTCGTGAGCAGCCTGCCCCAACGCGGTTGCGGATGCGCGCACCGACGCAACGAGTGCGCGCGCGAGCGTTTTGAGTGGGCTGCTCGGGCGCGCACGAGGCTTGTCCAGCGCGCACACTTGCCGCTGCCGTGGCTGACCGGAGGGCGCTCTCGCTGGTGACAAGTGTGCTCCAATCTGACAATCTGAAAAGAAATGTATATGTATATACAATTTGGCATACCCTGGCATTTCATACATCCATATGCGTTGTGTTGCCGCTTTTTGTTTGGGCCCTCCTCCAAGACGCGAGAGCCACGTCGGGCGCGGGGCTCGCGGCGATATCGTCCAATACCACGAACGTGAGCGCATGTGCGCGCGCGTGTGTGTGCGCGCGCGTGGTTTCCACGTGAACTGGTTTCGACTCACTTTGTTTGCTGCACGCGTCCGCTAAATATCTCATGTGCTGGCGACCCACTGGCAGACGCTCGGCAAGCGTGCGCCGCCTTATCACCCGCTGCGCTGGATCGGCCGGCTGGGAAGCACAGAGTGCGCTCGCGTGCTTGCAGGATGCAGTTCGCCTGTCTGCACACCAGCTTGCGGTCCCCCGTTGCCCTTCCTCCGAAACGCTCGCTGAGTGGCAAGTACTGTGCTTGTGCGGCCCACGCGGGGCTTCGCGACGGTGCCGCCATCTCTTGGGAGGATCAAAAGGTGGGTGCGTGTGTGTTTAAGCTGCGCTTTTCCTGTGCAAGCTCTTCCGCACCGCCTGCACCCCGCGCCCTCCGGCAGCCTGAGGCCCCGCCCGCCCGCGCCCTGTCTCCCCAATTAGTGCTTTGCGCGGCCCGCCTAGCTCTTAACCAGAAGAGGCTCGCTCTCGACCCGCAGACCAAAAAGTGTTTTAAGCTGCGTGCTGATGCTCGCTGCTCCTCGGGTGCATCGCTCGCTGCGTGCGCTCATCGGGTCGGCCTCTGACGCGTACGCCTCAGGGGTGCACCGACTTCGAGTCTTGCAGTGCCACGTCTCACCGAGCGCTGAGATGCGTCGCAATCTGCCATGCACCCATGTGCTGCCGAAGGGCGACGACGAAGAAACAGACGAGCAGAGTATTGAGCTATCGCGTAACGGTAAGCTTGGGCTTGGACCAGTGTAGCGGAAATCCAGTCCGCGAAGGCAGATCTGCCACCACACGATCCACACGACACGATCAACCTGTGGTGTCTATGTGTAGGTCGGCGACCTCACTGTTTCGATGGTCTCGGTGGTTTCTCTGCCTGGGTCAGCCTCCCCCCTTGGCTCCACATTGACTACCTTCCAGACCACCCCCACCCAACCCGAAGCCCCGAATGTCGGGTTGGGGGGGGTAAGGGTTCCAAATGTGTTTTCTCAATGTTTCCCGACCCCACCCCACTGGAAATCGAGGGTAAATCTGAGCCTTCGGGTTGGGTTGGGGTGGTTTAGTGGGTGGTGACACATGGCGCACCCGGCCAAACATGAAACATCTGTTTGCTCAGAGTCCCTGCGCGCTTTGCAACGAATAGGAGCAGCGGCGGGGGTGGGAGAACGGTCCGTGGACCCTCCACTCCCAGCCTTGAGTCGGGCGTGTCCCCCTACAGGGGGATTTTCGAAGAAATAATGAGAATACCTCAGAAATACTCCAAAAAGGTCAAAAAATACTCTCCGACAGCGCGGTGGGGCACACGTGGCAGAACACGCGTAGATGGCGAACGAGAGCACGAGAGAGAGAGAGGAGAGAGACAGAAAGAGAAAACGAGAGAGAGAGAGAACCCCCCAACAAAAACAAAAAGCGAAACGGAGTATTATGGAGCACGGCTGCAAGAGGGCTTGGGGCAACAAGAAAAAGGGGAGACGGGGCGCCTGTGGAACGAAAACGATGAAAACTGTGTTCGCCTGCTTGGGGGGGGGGACCAGGCGCGAACCTCCGGCGCCGTGAGAAACCGCAACTCCCGAATGGACCAAAATTACGAACGGCCGGGAGCCAGTTCACTTCGCGCGCGCGTGGGTTGGCAATCCGTCTGGAACTCTGCGCCCTGGGCTACCGCACTGTGTGCTGCGAGCTCCCTCCGCGGCCAAGTCTGCTGACTTCGCCCCCGGCAGTCCCGGCGAGAGGGGCTGGCCCCGCAGCGCTCTCGCTCACAACCATCCCGGGCGCACAACAATTACGGCGAGCCGTTCCGCCAGGACCGATGTCTCCTCAGCGCGAGCGCGCCTCGAAAACGTCCCCTTCCCTCTCCCGGAGTGAGGACAGCGGCAGCCGTGGCCAGAGCGCGTCGAGACGGCTCCCACAAGCCGGCGCGCCGCCGCCTGTTGGCGTGGTCGTCGTCCGCGTGCTCGTGGTGGTTGTCCTGCTCGAAGTAGACGTCAGCGTCCTTCGCGCGACTCGCAGAGGCAAAGTGCCCGAAGCGTAGCGTGCGCGGCGGGATCTTCTGACCCGGGTCAATCCAGACCCGGGTCCGCAGGAAACCAAAAAATGCAATGCAGGAACAGAACCTGCAACGCAGGTCTTCGCAGACCCGGGTCCACCAACATGTGCGGCCGCCTCGCGGCCACGAGCGGCTCGGCTCGCTGTCCCGGGTCGGCCAGAGGGGGTCTTCGCAGGATCCTGCAGGATCCGGTGCCCTGGCTGGCCCCCGTTTGCATGGACCCCCGTCTCCTGAGCTCCGGCGACGGGGCGCACGGTTTCTCCCGGGGCCGTAGGCGACCCGAGGAGGAGGAGGAGGTGGAGGAGGGGGAGGGGGAGGAGGAGATGGAGGAGAAGGAGGAGGAGGAGGAGGAGGAAGAGATGGAGGAGGGGGAGGAGGAGGAGGAGGAGGGGGGGAGGAGGAGGGCATTGACCCCCGTCTCAAGGCTCCCGAGGGTATACCCGTCACCGCCGCCCGGGGATCGACGTTCGGGGACCTCGGACGGCGGCGGCTATGGACACGCCCCGCCCCCGCCTCGGAGGATGGGGGGGGGGGCGACCGGGGGCCCACAGGAGGTCAGGAGGGAGCGCGCCCCAACAAAAAAAGGGGAGGAGGAGGACAAGACGGAGGCGATTGGCATGGGATTTACCAGCCTCGAACGTATCCCTATCCCTGCGATTGACACGCCAAAAGGCGATGACAATCTTAGGGATTCGCCCTCAAAAAATAAGGGAATCCCAAGATTGGCATCGTGATGAGGAGGTGCCCAGCATAGGGATAGGGATATGTTCCAGGCTGGCATGGGATCTGGAGGGGGGAGTAGGACCAGCGTGAAGCCAAGACCCAACAGCTTGCAACGAGCCATCCCTCCGAACTCCTTCTGCACAGGCCCTTACCAGAATCTACTTGAACTGCTGGCCGTGTTGAAAGACAACCGCCCGAAAATCTTCAACCGTATCAAAACACCACGCTTGGGACTTCCATGTCGCGAATCACGTCACCTGTGCAATCAGACGAGCTGGAACAACGTCAGAACACCATTAACGGTGTCACAGTGACGGGACATACGGTGATCACGAGAGCGTCATACGTGAGAGGGCAGGCCTGCTGTTCCCTGGCCAAATGGTGACCAGCTCAACACACACACACACACACACACACACGTACACACACACGTGCACACCTAAGCCAAAGGCTGCGGAGGAGAGCCTGAGAGACCCAACGAGGACCCAACACCCAGGGGACACTGGGGGCTCCGAGGAACAGTGGGGCGTCGACGGTGCAGACCAACGTGACTGTCGGCACGCGAGTGGCCCCACGAAGCCGTGCCCCCTGCGCGTTGCGCTGCGCCTCCCCCCCCCACCCGCCCTCCCGGGCCGAGGTGTTTGGACGGGTCGGCCCTCGAAGAGGCCGAAGGGTGGCTTCCAGGCGGGCGCCGCGATCGAGCCAGCGTCAGCTCGTCGTCCCCCCCATCCGCTGGCCGGCGATCGGCCACGATTCTCGACCCCAGGCAGATTCTAACGCACACCTGCCCCACTCCCGCCCTGGAGCCCCAGCGACCTCCCAGGAGCACATGCTTCCACGATATTCCTCGCTCGCCTCTTCGGGGAACGGGGCGCCCCCCCCCCCCCCTACCCCGTGCGAAGGAGCAAGGGCGCTCGTCTGAGATGTCCCGAGATGGCCCTAGATGTCCCCGGATGGCCGGATAGCCCAAATTGGCCAGTGATGGCCTCTAGTAAGCCTCCAAGCAGCCAGAAAAAACTCAAAGATTGCTCTCGGGTAGCGGTAACCCCAGAACATCGCAAGAATACCTCCGAGAAGCCAACATCATCGAACAGCTTCGACTTCTCGCCATCTCGATTCGTCCTCTCGCCTTCTCGCGCTCTTGTTTCCGATGGGCCTATTTTGTTTTTTTTTGTTGGGGGGGACAGGCACACAATGATTCGAACATGCGGCCAATGCGCTGGCTTACATGGCTAAAGTCACAAGACGACTGGCATTCGTCGGTAATGACCGTGAGCAGCAGCTTGACAAAATTTACCCTGACCCACAGACTTCGCTGCAGGGGGGGAGGAAAAAAGAAGGCTCAGGCTGCAACTGAAGAATCGATTGGGATGCTGAGACTGCCCAGCGTCCATGTCGAGTTATGTGTACAACGCACGACTAAACAATTCAGCTGTAAAAATTACGCCGCACTATCTGAACAATTGTGCGTCGTAGATGGCAACTAAGCCCCACCTCCAGATAATAACCCCTTTCTGGGGATAATGAAGTCCGGGGTCCAGCGGGAATAATAAATGCTGTCCCGGAGATCTCAGCATAATGATGACAATGATAACTATGATGCTGATCCATAGGGTTCCCTTGGAAATCTATAGGGGTCCTTGGTAAATCCATGGGACACCATCGGAAATCCGTCGGGTTCCTGTGGCAAGCCATAGGAGTCCGTTGGCAATCCATCGGGCTCCTTTGGGCATCCCAAAAGAATCTATCAGACATCCACAAGATTCCCTGGGAATCCATTCGGCAGCATTCGGAAATGCATAGGGTTCCTTCGGAAATGCAGAAGGTTTCTGAGGACATCTACATGCTACTCAGACCAGCGATCGGATTCTTGAGGGAATACATGAGGTTGTTGAAGAACATCCATGAGAATCCGTAAGGAACCCATCGAATTCCACAGGAACTCCATGAATGATGTCCTAAGGATTCCTGTACATTTCCTAACGAATCACATGGATCGCGAAGAAACCCAATGACTTTCCAGAGAAATCATGTAATGCCCCAAAGGGAACGTAAGGATTGCTTGCTAAAAGATCCTCTGGATTCTCTCAGGAATCCGATTGGCCGCCACGGAATCCCACGGATAACCTAAAGAATGGCATGGATGCCCTGTGGATTATTATGGATGTCCGAATGGTTCGTATACGTTGCAGAAGCAATCCTATGGAGGTCCTAAGGACCCCCATAGACTCCCCAAGGACTCCGATGATTTTCCTCAGGAGTCGTCTGGCTTGTCTACGGATTCCTGTAAATGTCCTAAGGAACCCGATGGATGCCCCAACGAATATTATAGATGTCGCAAGGAATCGCGCGGAGTTCCTAAGGAATCCGATGGATTATCTTAGGAGCCCTATGGATGTCTTAAGCATCCCATGGGTTTCCTCATGGATCCTGCGGATCTTCTAAGAAATCCGATGGGTGCCCGAGGGATTCCCACAGATTTCCGAATGGATCTTATGGGTGTCCAAAGGCATCCGATTGATTTCCTAAGGACCCCGATGGATGTCCTAAGGAAACCACTTGATGTCTTAAGGATTCCTATGGAGTTCCTCGGGGATCGTATGGATGTCCGAAGGATTCCGATAGATCTCCTACGGATCTTTTTAATGGATGTCCGAGGGATTCTGATACATCCATAAGTCATCCGATGGGCTTCCTCAGGAAGCCTATGAATGTTCTAAGGGAACCTATGGATGTCCGAAGGAACCCACTGCATTTCCAAATGAATCCGATGGAGGTGTCAGGAATCATTTGGATTTCCAGAGGAACCCGATGGATTTCCTGAGGGACACGATGGAGCTCCTACGGACTCCTGCGGGATTCCTAAGGATTGTTACAGACTTCTTAAGGAACCCAATGGGTTCCCTGAGGCAATGCGCAGGGTGCCTCGCGAATTCCATAAGATTGCTTTCTAACTCCGTAGGAAGTTCCTAGGGTTCCTTCGGACATCTATAGGATTCCTTCGGAACTCTATCGGAACCCATCGGAAACCCCTAGGATTACATAAGACATCCATGGGTTTCCTGAGGAAATCAATCGGAATCCTTGGGAGCTCTTGCTGCTCAACATAAGAAGAGAGCAATGTCGATTCGCAACTTTTCCCGCGATGCAAACTAACATCGGCCATGCCGCCTCTTTTCCCGGACCAAAACCGTATTGGCCGTGGACAATCAACACCCAGTACTAACGGGGGGGGTTGTTGATCATCGGGAGGTGGGGGTTAAGCCTTTGTTCCAAATTCGTAGTAGCTACAACATAAATCGCCGTTGAGGCCCCTCAGCGAAACTGCGAAGTCATGCGTCCAGAGCCTCAAGTGAAATCTCGCGCGCATCGCTCGTGGATTGCTGCTCCTTCGGCGAACCCTGCTTCTTCGTGTGCATATTGATAACTGGCGAGCTGCCCAGCCGGCCGAAGGCGAAAGAATAGCCACCGCCCACAAATATGGAACCTGCGAAGATGTTCCCGAGAGTTACGGGGCTGAAATTCCTCCAGAGACAATCCAGCACTGACTGACACGTCGGCGCCGGCCATCATCCCCATGGGGATCATGAACATGTTGGCTGGGATATGCTCGAAGCCGATGGCCACGAAGCAAGAGATCGGAAACCAGATGCCCACCATCTTGCCAACCATGTCCTGCGCCTGGCCCTGCAGGAACACAGCCATGCACACCAGCCAATTGCAGCCGATTCCTCTGAGGAAGGTGGTCAGAAAATTCTCCTTGACCTTCTTCTCCGCCACCTTGATCGCAAACTTGGCAGTCAGGTCAACATTCAAGTTACAAGCCGTGACAAAGCCAGCAAAGAGCAAGGCCCCCAGCAGATTGCAATCCAAGCCAACGCAAACGTCCTCAGGATCTGCATCCGGTGCAGCTTGCCTTCAAACACAGCGGCAGGCACGGTCGCCGCTGTACCTGTGATCAGCACCCCACCTGTGAGGAGGATGAGCAGCAGGTTCACAGGGAAAAGCGCAGCGAATACGAATGTCTGGATGGTAGGGTTGTCCTGGGCTGCGCTGTCGAGGCCACCAGCCACCACCCTCGACAGCATGCCCCCGAAGCCTATGTAGCAACCCGCGTAGAAAGACTGGTGGAAAATCTTGATGGACGAGTCGCCGCCCATCGACACGCCTTTGTCTACCATACCCATGAAGGCCTCCCTGGGGGTTTTCACGATCGACACGAGCTCCGGCATGGTCGCGCAACCTGTTCCAGAAAGGGGGCGCCCCTGGCACTTGGGGTGAGAATTGCGCAGCGGCAAGATTGGACAGCGCAAATCTTGCGCAAGACTTAGGCCAAGCTTGAGCAAAAGGGGCTACTATGGCCTCGAGGTGGCCACAAGATGGCCCAACGAAGGGCCCAGCATGGCCCCAAGAGAGCTCCAAAGAACTTCCTTGTCGCCCCAAGGATGGCCCCAAGAGGACCTCAACGGCGACACCAAGGAAAGCCCGAACAGGGCCTCGAAAGAAACAAGAGGGCCCACACAAAGCTTCAAGATGGCTTGAAGATGCCCTGCTTTCAAGTAGGGTTCGCAAAGTGGTCGGCAGAACAGGCTGATCCCAGCTTCGTTTTGCAGCTTCGATGTGACCAGCCCCTCTTTCAATCATCCTCCGCTCCCCTTCGCACAAGGACGGTTGATGGCAAGGACCTTGGGGACACGAGGGTCATCGAGCACACGACTTGCCACCGACCACATCCCAGAAATCTCCGCGAGGCGAACCTTACACCATCCCTGGGTGCGTGACTATAGTGGGCGTCCGCGATGCGGATTGCAGCTATGGTGTTGTGCTGTGCTGTATTGTTTGTTGTTGCCGCCGTTCTCCTAGCCAACGACCAGCCCGCGACACGCCCACGATCCGCCCGCGACTCACCCGCGACCCGCCCGCGACTCACCCGCGTCACGCACGCGATCCATCCGCAGTGCCCCCTTTGCGCCTGCGGCTGCCACGCAGTGAAGCGCGTAAAACACGTACGCCTGCGGCGGACTTCAAATTTCCTTGCGAACTCCGCAGAGTGCCTCATACCCGTAACTGGGGGGAGAGGGGTAATTAATGATCCAGCATACGACTTCTCTCATGGCCTTTGGAGGGCTTGCACACCACACTGATCAATCACTGTCCCTGGGAGGTTGACGGTGCCCCAGGGGGGACGTGGGGCGACATGCGAATCCCACCAGCACTCTGGGCGTGAGTGGTTTAGCGGGTTTCCTCTTCCGCCTTCCTTCCTGCCCTTCGGGGATGCGTCCGCCACTGTTCCCTTTTAGTGTGCACCCCCCCCCGAGGCGACCGGCAGCCAACCAGGAACAATGCCGACCCTATGCTCACCCCCCACCACCCCTGTCAGAAAAACATTACAAAACACACTCTGCCTCCAAATTCGAAGAATGCGCAACCAACCCGATGCGGCCCCCCCGACCATCCCTGTCAAAAAACAATGAAGAATACACTTTGTGGCGAAAGTTTGAATCATGTCCGTCAGGCCCGCGAAACCATTGTATTGTTTGTTCGATCCAGACGACGAGTGTGTCAGCATATTGCCTGTCGTGCGCAAAGCGACAGCCCTGTCAAAACAATACAAGCTGCACCTCGCGGCGAAATCTCGATCATGCGCGGCCACCCCGCGATGTCAAGTGGTTTTTGACGGGGACGGCGGGGGTGGTGGCGTATGGTCTGCTGTGCGCGTGCCCACCAGACACAATGATGGGCATTGGCTTTCGACAAGGATGGTGGGGGCCGACATGCTTTCCGATGTGTGCTGTCACGTGCGCAGGCGCACCTGACACATTTTGCACGTGCCCCGAACGTGGCGTACCTGGCCCGGCTGCAGCATGTGGCACACCTGTCGCACGTGGAGCAGCATCTGGCACACCAGGCGTGCCTGGCACGCTCGGGCCCCAGAGCAGCGTGGCGCGCGTGGCGCCTAGCACGCGTGGTGCACCTCGCCCAGCATTGCGCACATGAGGTCGGTGCTGGTTCCCAATAACTGCCAATCCAAAGACGACGGCTGAACATGCCGAGGCTCGGGTGTTACCTAGGTGTTGGGAGTGCGGGCTGGAGTGAGCTAGACGGCGTGCTACCTAGGAGAGTGCCTTGACCCCTTCCCCTCCCCCATCCGCCTGGACCTGGACGGGTGGGGCGCGGGTCGTTGGAGCGTCCAGGATGGCCTAAGCGAGAGGGCACAAATCATCACTCCTGCATTTGTTTTGGAGCAATGTTGGCTTCCGGGGGGGTGGCTAATTTAATATCCCCCTTCTGTGATCGATCTCCTCCCAGATGGCCCAAAGACTGCCCCCGAGAGGCTCCCAAGAATGTGCCCCAAAAGGACACCAAGATGCGCCCAGGGGCCACTATGGGCCGTAGGCCCCCAAGAGGTAGGTCCCCAAAAGGCCCCGAAGGCCCCGAAGAGACCCCCGAAGAGCCCCCAAGGGGCTCCCCTGAGGCACCCAAGATGCTCTCAGAGGCCCCCGTGGCCGCAAAGAGGCCCCCAACACGCCCCAAGAGGACTCCAAGAAACTCTCAAGAGAAAACCAAAGGGACTCCGAGAGGCGTCCGCCTTTCTGCTTGCCCTCCTCTTCAACTGCACGCTCCTCCACATTCCTGATCAGGGCAACTCGTCTGGGCGTAATGTCTGGCTGGGCTGGTGGGGTCACTTTTTTGATCGCAACCGCGGCGAGACAGGTCGGGCGGCGTAAAGGAACGAAGCGCAGATGCATCGGCCTAAATTAGCGCACAGGAGGGGCTGGTGGGATCACGCGAAGCGTCTAGGATTTTTCTTCGGGTGCCCCCATCGGCTCCTCTGTCCAGGACCCCTCGCTTTGTTGCACCCCCTCGCCCGTGAAAGGCAAAGAGCGGTGCCAAACGCGAGTGGCCCCAGGAGGCTGTGCAGGAGCTCCGTACCCTCCTTGTCTCCATGTCCGATCAAGCTCTGGCTACAAGGTGCAGCCCTAGAGGCCTCCCAAATGGGGTCCGAGTAGATGGGGTCGGAGGCTCGCGCCGCATCGCCGATGCATCGGCGATGAATCGGCGGCGGCGGTGATGCATCGGCGACGACGGCGTGGAGAGAATCGGACTCCGCATCGCGCGACATCGCCGATGCATCGACGATGCGCGATGCGGCGCGATCCTCCCACCCCATATACTCGGACCCCGTCTAGGAGGCCTCAAAAGCCCGACGCCTGGGCGGGGAGGACTCAAAAGTGCCGATACCGCTGCTCCCCGGGACTCTCCCGGGGTGCGCTCTGACCAGGACTTCGAGGCAATTCCTGCGGTGGCGACGAGGGCATCCCAAGAGGGACGCCATTGAATGCATGTGTACGAACCTACATCGACCCATGCATATAGCACATGAGAACTTCAGTCGCTTTGCCCACTCCGCAGGTCTATACTGTATGTAGTGTTCAGTGGCCTTCGGCCAGGCTGGGCCTTTGACAAGAGGATCTGTTGGGAGGCTTGTTGGGGAGGCGAACTGTACGCATGTATGCCGTGGACAAGAAGCCTTGTTGGGAGGCTTGTTGGTATGGGTACCTCCTCCTCCTCCGAAAGATGGGGTCCTCTTCTCGTTCCTTCCGTTGGCATGCAAGCAGACGGGTCCCGAGGGAGGCGGGCCTGGGGCCCTCAGGCCTGCCCCCGGGGTTGGGCCTGCATCGCTGGGTGCCGGAATAAAAAACAGCCCACGAAACCTCCTCCTCCTCCTCCACGTCCACTTCCTCCTCCTCCTGTTCCTCCTCCTCCACTTCCTCCTCCGCCTCGCCTCCCCCTCCTCCTCCTCCTCCTCCTCCTCCTCCTCCTCCTCCTCCTCCTCCTCCTCCTTCTCCTTCCCCTCCTGCTCGCCTCCCACCCCGTCCCTCCTTGCTCCTCCCTCTCCCGCTCCTGCCTCCCCTCGTGCACCTCCCTTCCCCCTCCCCCTTCCTGGCCGCCCGCCCTCCCTCGTGCACCTCCCTCCCCTTGGAGCCCGCTTGCTTCATTATGGTGGCTTCCGCTCGGCGGCGAGCGAGGGGTGCGGAAAAGGAGGAGGAGGAGGAGGAGGGAGGAGGGAGGAGGGGGGAGGTAAGAGGTAAGAGGAGGAGGAGGAGGAGGAGGAGGAGGAGGAGGAGGAGGAGCAGGAGGAGGAGAAGGAGGAGGCCATCTCAGGAGTTCGGTTGACCCAAAAGAGGGTCCAGCTGAAAGGGGGTGGCGCAACAGGTTTGGGGCAATTGTATTGCAAAATGTACTGCGCCTGAAGATTGTATTGCATTGTATTGCAACGAATGCATTGCGCGCGACAACCAGCGATACATCTGCGTACCAAAAAATGATGCACGGCCCAAATCTGCTGCAATCCCGCAACTCTATTGCACCACATGTGCTGCACCACTCCCTTGTCGCTGGAACCCCTTTTGGGTGAACCAGGAGGAGGCGGCGAGGCTTCCCAGAAGCTCTCGAGCCTTCCGAGAAGCTGCGCCTTCGGGGAAGGCTCAGAAGACGTCAGCTCAGAAGACGTCTCGCACAAGGCCGGGGGGGACTTCCGAGCCTTCTGAGGCCTTTTCCTTCTCACCTTCCCCCCCCCCTGAGCGCGCCGCGCCGCCGCATGTCCATGGAAAATCGGTCCCAGCAGCCCTCCTGGGGTCCATCCGACGCGGGCTTTCTCCCCCGATCGAGCTTCGGGGGTCCTGGGGCCCGAAAGCGGCCCCCAAGGAGGAGGAGGAGGAGGAGGAGGAGGAGGAGGAGGAGGAGGAGGAGGAGGGGGAGGAGGAGGAGGAGGAGGAGGAGGAGGAGGAGGAGGAGGAGGAGGAGGAGGAGGAGGAGAAGGATGTCGAAACCGATGCAAAACCGCATCGAACCTCGAACCGTTCGCACCACCTCCAACACGATGAAAAACCTGCACCTCCTCGATTCCCCACCGGGCTCGGCGCAGATCCACCCCTTCGGGGGGATGGACAGATCCCCCCTTGAGCAAAACGTCGTTTAGTGACAACGACCTGAGGCCCAAACCTGGCGGGCGCAGGCCTGGAAAATAACGGCCACGGCGCCCTCTCGAGATCCGAAAATGGGCAATTCACGAATCGACGTATCAGTGTTGGGGGTTCTGTCCACCCACGACCCTTCGCCGCCGACGGTGGTCCTGGTGCTGGTGGTACGGCCCGTCGTGGCGGTCACCGTGGTCGTGTACGGCGCGTACGGGAGGTCCGGGGACCGGTCGCAGTAGTAGCGCGCCTGCGGGTTGTAAGGCCCCGCCTCTCCTCCCCTGCGGGTTGTAAGCCCCCGCCTCCTCTAGAATAAGAAGAAGCAGAAGAAGAAGAAGAAGAGGAAGAAGAAGCGCCAGAAGCAGAAACTTTTGGCGCTCCGCGCGGATTTCTCGGTTCTGCTCCGGAACCCCCTCCCTGGCGCGCGGAGCGTGCCAGCGGCGGCGCCGGAGGCGCCGCCGGGGGGCCCAGCGCGGATCCAAGCAATCCGCGCGGACCGCCAAAAGTTTATGTTTATGCAGTTTTGTCTTCGGCGATCTTCCTCTGTGAGGGACAGGAAGGGCGACTGGGGTCATGGGGGAGGGAGGGCAGAAGTTGAACGCCAGGGAGCGATGCCCCTCCAAATACGTCGTTGGGCAGGCGACTTCTCTGTCTCAAGTGGACCACGCCCGCGGCGGCAACGACAACGCGTGCTGCCTCAAACGTGCAGGGACTGCTGCTGGTCTTCGTCACTATTCTCTTCCCGTGCCCAGTTCGACCCTCCAGAAGGGAGCCAGGGGCGGCGCTGGATGCGCCTTCAAGGGTGTCCAGCGCGGATCCGAGAAATCCGCGCGGACCTCAGAGTTCTGATATTTATGTAATTCTTCGTTCCACCAGACCAAGCCAGGGCGAGGATCAACTCGTGTGACGCCCCCAAGGCGCCCACAAGAGGCCACAAGAGGCCTCCGAGGCGACCCCAAGAAGCCCACCAAGCTGCCCCCGAGAAGGCCCCAGAAGCCCCTGCCAGATGCCCCCAGGGGCCCTCGAAGAGGCCCCTGAGAGGCGTCCCTCGAGCCCCTCATATGCATCCAAGAAGCTCCTAACACACTGGAGAACTTCAAAGATCGTCACGATCACTCGCTCCTTCTGGGGGGTTGGCGGAATAGCGTAAGCCACTTGAGCAACATCGGGTGAAGATAATCGAGAATCTCAGAAACCTGGCGGCTCCAAGAGATTTCTCGGGCACCGCGGCCGTCTGAGAGCGTTCCGGAACGCTATGAGAGCATTCCGACCAGCAGAAGCACGAGGACCTGACGAGAACCGTATGTTGCAATGGGACGGGCCCTGAAGGCAAGGGAGGAGATCCTGGGCCGACTAGCTGCGCGCATCGCGCCCCGCGATGCGCGACAAGCGGTCATCTTTGCGCCCTCGCGCCCTCGCACCGTCCACTTTGACGAGGGCAACCACTCGAGTACAGGCCGCGATGCGCGAAGCGCGAGTTTATCTTCGCGCCCCCGCGGGTGACATAGGAGATCAGGCCGCAGCACGCACGTGGGAGAGACCGACAGAGCGTTCACACAGGTACCACGCGAGTGGACCCGGCCCATGCAAACATCCAGGCGAGACTAGTCTTGCGGCACTACACTGCCACGGTGGCCAGAGACGAGAGAGAGAGAGGGGGAGGGAGAGAGAGAGAGAGAGAGGGAAAGAGCAGGGGGGAAAGGGACGGAGAACTGCCAGTTAGGCAATCTACGGGCCAGATAGGGCGACACTGATGTCGTGATGCGGTCGGCTCAAGATACGTTCATTCCCTGAACCCCAGAGCCTCTGGCGGCCTTCGTTCCTGCAGCCCGTGGGGGACACTGGGAGATCTTGGACACGCCGGGAATCCCTGGATGTCCAACACTGTGGCGAATCCCGATCCCCCTTCTCGAAAGGATCGTCTTCCGCCACCGTTCCTTAATTGATGGGCCCGGGCAAGGTAATGCGCTTCAGAAGCCGAATCTGAAGGGGCACAAGTAAGTACACACACATAAATACACACAAGTAAACATATTCCCCATTGTTTCCCATACTTTTGGGGGGGCTTTCGTCTTCCCCCCCACTTCCCATGCTTTCCCATAATCTCTGAGGGATCGACGCAAGGACATCAAACAAGATATCCCCCATGCTTCCCACATGTTGGGGGGGTTTTCGTCTTCCCCCCCACTTCCCACACTTTCCTATATTTTCTGGGGAATCGACGATTCACTGTGTCTGTGTGCTTCCTTCCCCCCCGAGCAGCGGTGAGAACACTCCGCCGCGGCGGGGCCTGGGGCAGAAAGCCAGCTCCGAGGAGCAGGAGGCCCTGCGCCGGCCCCGGCCGGGGAGCACTCGAGGGTGCCCTCCCCCCCCCCTCGGGGAGAGGCGCGAGAGCATGCCGCAGACACGGATGATGGGGGCCCCGGGGGCACACGAAGAATGCGACCGGGGAAAAGCCCCAATCGTAATCTTGTTAGGGCTGTAGGGCGATAGGGCTATATGGGCTATAGGGCGATGGGGCTATAGGGTAATATAGATCTACAGGGCTATAGGTAACGGAAAGAGCGAGGTACGAGTGATGACGTTCTGGTGTGGGCGAAGCCCTAAAGGGAGGGGTTCCAGGGGAGGGGGGTAACGTGCGCACCTGCGTGTTAATGGCAGTTTTCGGGTTATCCCTCAGGTTTGCATGTTTTTCGGGTTCCCCCCCAAGACGGCCCAATAGCGCTCCAAGAGAGCCCAAGACCGCCCACGACGGCCCAAGAGGCCCCCAAGAGGCCCCCAAGAGGCGGCCAAGGGGCGTCCCAAGAGGACCCCAAGATGCCGAAATCATAGATTTTCCAGAAAGGAATACGTATATTTTTAGCATATGCGCTTTGTCGGCTTTCACGGCGTTGACGACGGCCCAAGAGGCCCCCAAGACCGCCCCAAGACGGCCCAAGAGGCTCCCAAGAGGCCCCCAAAACGGCCCAAGAGAGCCCGCGCTCAAGATGGCCCAAGAGGGCGCCAAGACGTGGCCCCCAGAGCCCCCCAAAAAGCCCCAAGAGGCCCCCAAGAGGCGTCCCAAGAGGCCACCGGGAGGCGAAAGTCATTGATTTCCGATGGGAAAATGTACATTTTAGCATACAAGGCTTTTCGGCTTTCACTGCGTTGAAGACGCTCTTAGAGGCCCCCAATACCGCCCCAAGACAGCCCAAGAGGCTCCCAAGAGGCCCCCAAAACGGCCCAAGAGGGCACCAAGACGGCCCAAGAGGCGCCCAAGACGGGCCAAGAGGGCCCCAAGACGGCCCCAAGAGGGGGACCACGAACCGAAAAGTCTAGCCTTTCGCCCCAAGGAGCTCCCAGGAGGCCCCCAGAGCCCCCCAAGAAGCCCCAAGAGGCCCCCAAGAGGTTCCCAAAAGGCCTCCAAAAGGGCCCGACAAGGGCCCCAATAGGACTCCCAAGAAGGCCCAGAGACGCCAAATAGAGAGCGATCGGTAACGCAAAAAGCTCTCCACACCAAGGCTCCCAAGAGCGAACGGTGACGTAAACAAGCTGATAAGACCAAGGCTCCCAGCAGAGAGCGGTGACGTAACATATTCCTGACACCAAGGCCCAGCCAAGGCTCAGGAACGGGCGGCAACGCAACCATCTCTGAACACCACGGCTCCCAAGAGCGAGGGATGACGTAACAAGCTCTCAACGCCAATGCTCACAGTACGAACGGTGGTGTCAATAATTTTGGTTTTTGTTCTGAAGCGCTCTTTCCGTTTCTGTGCCGGGCCCGGTCTACAGGGCTATAGGGATGTAGGGCTATAGGGTATAGGGGTATAGGGCTATAGAGCTACAGGGCTATACGGCTATAGGGCTGTAGAGCTATTGAGCTATAGGGCTGTAGGGCTATAGAGCTATAGAGCTATAGAGCTGTAGGGCTATGAGGCTATAGGGCTATTGGGCTATAGGGCTATATGGCTACGAGGGACCCCCGGGTACCCGCGCACCCCTGGGCACGCCCAGGCACCCGGGCACGGGCACCAGGGCACCCCCCGGCACCCAGGCACTCGGGCGTGCAGCGAAAATCGGCGGCAAACCTAACCTACCCATATGAATCCGCGAGGACCCCTACAGAGGCAAACTCTGATTGGGGAAATACGCACGAATGCAACAAACACGAATGAGGGGGCCCCGGGGCACACAAATAGATACACACACACACAAACAACAGGATTCCCCATATGTTCCGGGTGCTTGTCTCCCCCCCCACTCCCCATAGTTTCCCATCTTTCCTGGGGGATCGACGACTCATGGTGTCTGCGCCCTTCCTCCCTCCTGCACGAAGAACGCCAAGGGTGCCCTCCCCGAACCGACCTCGACCTCGCACCCCGGTCCGGCGGTGCGCGAAAGAGCATGTTTTTCTTTATATCCAGGCAAGCTTACTTGCATGGCGTTCGCCCCTCCCCCCCCCCCGCCCCCCCTCGCTCCTCTTCGATCGAAGACGAGCGTGCAAGTGTCCTTCGACTTGCGCGATTTCCGCCCGTCGACTTGTTTTCGGCCTGCTTCAGACTCAGCGCCCCCCCCGTCCATGCAAGTAAACTTGCCCGGATCCCAAAAAAACAGGCTGACAACGTAACGTCGTCGGAGGCCCGGCTGCTCGGCGGGGAGCTCGCGGGCGGGGGGCACCAGCCAGCAGGCAAGAGAGGCAGCGGCTGCGCCGGCAGGAGCAGGTGCCCCCAAAGCAGGTGTGAAGTTTACTCCACATTTCGTTATCAAAGGGAGGGGGTCTGGACCCTCCAAGACAAGCCATTTCAGACCCCCCCCGTTGGGAGAACCCTCCAAAACATCGTCCCCAGACCCCCCCAGGCCCTCCAAGATAGCCTGGAAGAGACCCCCCCCGAAATGAGACCCCCCTCCCTTTATTACGAAATCTGGAGTGCACCCCGGGTGGGGACATGAACTTTCCACCCGCGCTGGGACAGGCTCTCCCGACCGAGGAGCAAGCAAGGGATGTCGTGCCGCTGTTCGCCCTCAGAGGAGATGAACAAGAAGCTGCGTGACCTTTGTGGGCCCCGGAAACGGCAAGGCCGTTTTTTTACCGTTTCCAAAAAAAAGGCCTTGAAAATGGAAACGGCAAAAAAACGGCGACCAGAAACGGCAAAAAACGGCTCCAGGATTGGAACCGGAGCCGGAACCGGTCAAAAAACGGCGACGGAACCGGTAAAAAAACGGCGTCGGAACCAGCAACAAAAACGGCAAAACGGAACCGGTAAAAAAACGGCCCTGTCGTTTCCAAGGCCCACTAAGTGCGTGACTATAGTTTGTCTGGGATCCGCGCGGCGGATTTCTTGGATCGTCGCTGGACCCTTTCTCCCTGGGGCGCGGAGCATGCCAGGGGCGGCACTCGAGGCACCGCCAGGCCAGGGGGTGCCCGACGCCGACCTGAGACATCCGCGCGGCCCTCCGAGGAATTGCGTTCAGGCCGTGTTCCCGGTGTTCGATCAAACTAGGGGGGGGGGGGGGCCACGATGAAGGGGGATACGCGCAGGGGGGGAAGCATCAACCCCGAATCGGCAGTACATATATATATATATATATAGATATACATATATATATATATATATATATATCGCCGATAGATCGGGGATGTGCCCCCGACAGCGAATCCGCACGCTCCTGGGCGGGTTGGGGCTATCGGGCCCCTATCGTTGATTCATGGGCGACTGGGGGTCGAGGCGTCCTCCCCCTGTGCCTATCCCCCCCTGTCGTTGCCACGGAGGGGGGGGGGGGAGGGGAAAGCGAGGGTACGCGAATCAGTTTACCCATGGATCGGAAGAAGTAGGTCGAAACATGGAGTACGGAGGCGTTGAAACTAGAGTGGGTGCTCGCCCGCCCCCGAAGGAGGACGGCAAAGGAGAAGCCACTCGAGCATTGAAGTAGGAAGGCGCTTGAATGAGATTGGAATCTGGAAATACCAAAATACCTACTTTCAACGACCGATGGGTGCGTGGCTGATTTCTCTGGCGCCTCCTGGCGCCCGAGGCGCCTATAGTATCGAGGAAGGCGCCCGACGGCTCCTTCCCCTACTCTTCGAGTAGGAGATCGACTGCATCACTGATTTACGCCAGAATGTTTGTCAATGTTCGTCGAATCTACGAAGCATATGAATAGGAGATCGACTACCTAAGTGATTTACCCCCGGATTTTTCATGTCCGTCGATATCTGCAAAGAATAAAAACACAATGCGCGCAGCTCTACGAACATTCCGCGCATGTGCCGTAGATTCGCCGAACATGTTAACTTTCAGGTAAATTAATTGAAGGGGTCCTGGGACACACAAACAAATGCACACAAATAGCCGGATTCCCCATATGTTCCAACATTTTCTGGGTTTTTTTCTTCCCCCCCAGTTCCCCTGGTTTCCCATATCTTCTGGGGGATCGACGATTACTTGTGTCTGTGTGTTTTTGTTCCCTCCTGGTTCATCCTGTAGTCGACCTCCTGCTCAAAGTCTCCCCTTGCTCTCCGACCCCGGGGATCGTCGCCGCCTGGCCTTGGAGCCAGAGCTCCGGCCTCCGGCGACCGCTCTGGAGGATCTGCGGGCACCCCCGGAAGGCTCCAGGCGAGGCGCAACCGAGACTGCGACGCCGGCGAGAGCCGACGGCAGCGCCCGAACACCTCGGTCGCCGAGATCTGACATGGAGCACCGAGCAAGGACTGCATTGGCGCGAAGCATCACGACTGGAGCCCTAGACCAACTCTTGCCCGCGGCAGCTTCTGAGCCCAATCGACCTGTGATGGGCCTGGGCCACATCGGGCGAGAACGCCCCGTGTTAGATAACTGCAGCGTCCAGATCTCACGGAACTCGAGGCGTCCAATCCCCCCCTTCGTCCGCGCGAAGCTGGCACCCCCGGAAAGCATTCGGCGAGGCGCAGCTGTTGGAAGGTATCCCGACGCTGAAAAACCGCCGGAAACCGACGTCACTGCCCGAGAACCTCGCACCTCGAACCTCCCCAGCGACTGCAGGCAATGAGTGACAGTAGGGAAGAATGACCTTCTGTGCGCGGCGGTAGAGGTCCGCGGAAGGGGGGCCGAATCCAAGCAACCCGAGTGCACCGGCCAGAGATGGTGGCACCCCTGTGTGCCCGCACCAAAGGTCACTCCGGCGCAAGGTCACTCTTAGGCGCAGCCGATCCCATTCCGACGCGAAAAGGGGGGCATGCCTGCGTGTTGCCGCGGGAGGTCTCTTCGCCCTTGTCGTTGATGACGTGGAGCATCTGCAGGAAAGCCCAGAATCGAATCCACAAGTCGGATCGGAGATCGCAATGAATCGGATCGGCGGAAAACGGCAGCCAAGTCGGGAGAAGTCGGATCGGCGGAAACTGGCAGACCAGTGAGTCATCCATTGAGACACTGGAATCCCAATCGGAATCCGACGTCGAATCGAATCGGAATCGACCGAGATCGAATCTAATCGAATCGAGCCCGAGGAATCGAAACGAACCCCGCAATCCGACGCGAAAGGGGGGCTGGCCCGCGCGTTGCCGCTTGAAGTCTCGGCGCCCTCGTCGATGAAAGATCGAAATCGAACTCGAACGTGAGTCGGAAGAATCGGCAACCGAAATCGAATCGAATCGGAATCCGAAATCGAATCAATCGATCGAAATCGAGTCGGAAGAATCGAAATCCAAAATCGAATCGAATCAACATCCGAAATCGAAATCGCATCGGAGCCGATCGAGGTCGAACCGAGAACCGCCGGCCCCTTGCGGGTCTCTAGGCGTGTGAGATATCCCCCCCGAACAAACAGGGGATGTGTGAAAGAGCGTGTTCTGCCGCTGCTGGCAGAAAACAGAAAGGGGTTTCTGGGGGGTTCCAACCCGGTCCCCCGCCCCCCCTTGAACACCGGGTGGGGTCAATACTGGTTCGACCCCCCCCCAGGGTTCATCATGATAAGGAGGGGGAATCACTTCGAACCCCCCAAGGCCCCCCTCCTCGCCGCCGGCAGACGACTCCCGCTCCTCGGGACATTTGGACAGTGGTGGGGACAGTGGGACAGTGGTGGGGACGGTGGTGGTGGGGACAGTGGTGTGGGGACAGTGGGACAGTGGTGGGGACAGTGGGACAGTGGGACAGTGATGTCGGTACAGTGGTAACGGTGGTGGTGGGGACAGTGATGTCGGGACAGTGGGACAGTGGTGGGGACAGTGGGGACAGTGGGACAGTGGTGGGGACGGTGGTGGGGACACTGGAGAGGGCGGCGGTGAGGACGTTGGTGGAACAATGAGACAGTGATACACTGGGACAGTGGGGACACTGGGACAGTGGGGACAGTGGGGACACTGGGACAGTGGGGACAGTGGGAGAGTGGTGGGGACAGTGGGGACACTGGGACAGTGGTGGGAACGGCGGTGGTGGGAACAGTGGTGTGGGGACAGTGGGACAGTGGTGGGGACAGTGGGACAGTGGTGGGGACGGTGGTGGTGGGGACAGTAGTGAGGGCGGCGGTGAGGACATTGGTGGGACAGTTGTGAAGTGGGGAGAGTGGTGGGGACAGTGGGACAGTAGAGGGAACAGTGGGACAGCTCAGTCGGTCAGCGGCGGGAACTGTGCGGAGAGTGGGACATTGATGGGGATAGTGGGGGCAGTGGGACAGGTGTGGGGACAGTGGGGACACTGGTGGGGGGTGAACTAGAGGGCCGTAGAAGAGCCCCTTTCTTCGCCCCCCACTTGGGTCACCCCACATGGCTAGAAGAATAAATAACGGCACAGACATCAACTCTTGGCACCCCGAGCGGATTTCTTGGATCTGCGCTCAACCCCCCTCCTCGGCGCGCGGAGAAGGCGGCGCCGGAGGCGCCGCCAGGGGGGCCCAGAGCGGATCCAAGAATTCTGCGCGGAGCGCCACAAGTTGATGTTTCTGGCGTTTTGCCTACTCCAAAATAGCACCCGCCCGAATGAAGCCCAGGGGTGGGTCCAGTCCGGCCGGACTGCACGCACGATGCCGGATTAGAAAAAGGGGCGCTGGGACACACAAATAAACACACACAGCTCCAAGGATTCCACGTATTTGTCCACACTTTCTCGGTTTGCGTCTTCCCCCCCCACTTGCCATGTTTTCCCATCGCTTCCAGGGGATCGACGATTCACTGTCTGTGTCGACCAGATTAGGTCGGCCACGGGCACACCAGCGCCCACGGGGGGGGGCGGCTTGCTGGGGAGTGCCGAGGGGGCTTGCTGGAGAGGGGCCCAGCTGTCGCCATCGCTCGGACGTCCATGCCCCGTGGCCTTGTCCTGGCTCCGCGCGTCTGTGCTTCGCCGAGGGTCCTCGAGGGATGCTCCTCGAGGGTCCTCGATGCGCTTCGTAGGTCCTCGGAGGATAGATCCCTCCGTGCATGCAGGAGGCTTCTCCGCGGTCCTCGCCGGGGAAGCTGCACCTGTCAGAGAGGTGCAGCGCCAGAGGCTTCCAGGACGGCTTGTGGGAGAAATTGGGTTGGGCTTCTGAAAATCCCACGCGGAGGCCGCCGCCGTCCCCCCATCCGACGCAGCCAGGCACCTCCTCGCCTCTTCCTCCTCCTCCTCCTCCTCCTCCTCCTCCTGCTCCACCTGCTCTTCTTGCTCATCCTCCTCCTCCTCCTCCTCCTCCTTCTCTCTCCCTCCTCCTCCTCCTCCTCCTCCTCCTCCTCCTCCTCCTCCTCCTCCTCCTCCTCCCTCCTCCTCCTCCCCCTCCTCCCCCTCCCCCCCTCCCCTCCTCCTCCTCCTCCTCCTCCTCATCCTCCTCCTCCTCCTCTCCTCCCTCCCCCTCCCCTCCCTCCTCCTCCTCCTCCTCCTCCTCCCCTCCTCCTCTCCTCCTCCTCCTCCTCCTCCTCCTCCTCCTCCTCCTCCTCCGCCTCCTCCTCCCCCTCCCCCTCCTCCTCGCTCCTCCTCTCGCTCCTCCTCCTCCTCCTCCTCTCCGCCTCCTCCTCCCTCCTCCGCCTCCTCCTCCCTCCTCCTCCTCCTCCCCTCCTCCTCCTCCTTCCTCTCCTCCCTCCTCCCCCTCCTCCTCCTCCCCTCCTCCTCCTCCTCCTCCTCTCCTCCTCCTCCCTCCTCCTCCTCCTCCTCCTCCCCCTCCTCCTCCTCCTCCTCCTCCTCTCCTCCTACTCCTCCTCCTCCTCCTCCTCCTCCTCCTCCTCCTCCGCCTCCTCCTCCTCCTCCTCCTCCTCCTCCTCCTCCTCCTCCTCCTCCCTCCTCCTCCTCCTCCTCCTCTCCTCCTCCTCCCTCCTCCTCCTCCCCCTCCTCCTCCTCCTCCGCCTCCTCCTCCTCCTCCGCCTCCTCCTCCTCCTCCTCCTCCTCCTCCTCCTCCTCTCTCCGCCTCCTCCTCCTCCTCCTCCTCCTCCTCCTCGCTCCTCCTCCTCCTCCTCCTCCTCCTCCTCCTCCTCCTCCTCCTCCTCGGTGGCGCGCCGAGGGGGCAGGCTTTCTCCGAAGAAAGTGGGGCTTCTCCACAGGCCTCCGGCCCTCTCCTAAAAGCAGCCGGCGTCTTCGGAGAAGGCCTGGAAATCCTCTCAGAAGGCCAACTCGGACGAAGCCTAGAGGAAGCTACCCACGGGTGAGAATCTCTGAGGTCCGGCGGCTCTGAAGGATGTATCGGGCGTGGCGGCCTTCTCAAAGCGTTCCAGCACGCTCAGCAACGACAAGTTATCCTCTTCCCAGCTACTCGACCAGAGGCCATCTGAGCCTTCCGAGACTGGGGAACACCCAGAGGTATCGATACCGCTAATTACTCCCCAGACCTCTCCTGGTGTGCGCCTCCAGCCGTGGCAACGAAGGTCGTGGAGAAGATCGAAGCCCACCTCGAGCCGCACCGGCGATGCATCGGCGATGCGGCGCGATCATCCGGCCCCACCTGCTGGGACCCCATCAGGAGGGCACAGCCACCGTGCTACCCTGAGGAACGAAAAGCTTTCCTGGCCACGGCAAGCCTCGGCCCGAAGAGTCCCCCGACGTGCATCTAAGGAGCGAATAGTAATGAAGATTCGTATTCTTAGTAGTCTCCTCTAGTCGTACCATCATCAGTCACATTATCATGCTTATTGTTTTTCATATACTAACTCAAATTATATCAGGGTGATTATTACAAGGTGATAACTGTAGATCCCAAAGGGTCGGTCGCCGCCGTCTTTCGGGGCCGCGCAGGCTGCGCTCGCTGCCCGAATCGAGTGCGGTGCCGCTGGCGCCGAGCTGCGCCGCGGCCGCTTCGGCCCCGGGCGCGCTGCTGGCGTCGGGCTCCCACCGCTGCTGCACTGGCTCTTGTGGCGGCGCAGACAGACAGACAGACAGACAGGCGCCGATGTGCGCCCCGGGGGGTGGCCCTCTAAGAGCTCGGCGGGGGCGCCGGAGCGCCGAAACTCAGATGTCGTAGTACTTTACGATCTCGAGTCTTTACTTGCGGCGCAGGGATGGACAAAACAACACGTTGGACGCTGAAGGACCTACTAATATTACGTGCTAGCGTTGGAGGCGCGCGTCTGGCAGAACGGAACGAGCATGTAGTACACACATAATAAATTACATCGCTCCTCGAGCGGTATTGCCAGAAAGAGCCCGCCTTGCGGATTATACGGTATGATTTCTGAACGCGCACGTCGTCCTTGCGGTGCCGACGCACACAAAGTTCTGCGGGATGATTCCGTGCTAATCCACCCCTACCAAAAAACCTAACTGCCCATATTGGACATGACTTTCCGAACTCTCTGTCGCGATCTGGGTAGCCTAACTTCGAGACCTCGCGCCCCGCGATGCCAGGAGATCCTAAACATCGAATCGATCAATTGATTCGGCGATCGAAATGAATCGGATCGTCGGTGATCGGCAGCCGAGTCGTTAAAAGTCGAATCGGCCGAAATCGGCAGGCTGGTATGCCTCCATTGGAAAATCGGAGTCCACATCTGAATCCGAAATCGACTCAAATCGGAATCAGAAGCCATCGGAATCGATTCGAATCGAATCGGAGGCGTCGAAATGAGCCCCGCGATGCGCGGTGATATTCGCGCCCTCCCGCCGCCATCCTACTAGAGAAGGACGCCTCTGAAACCCAAGTCGCGATGCGCGAAGTGCGATCACTCTCGGCGCCCCTGCGAGTGACCAAGGCTGTGTCACAGAGCAGTGTGGAGGACAGCTGGCGGCAAGCACAAGGGGGGTCAAGGGGGATGGGGCAAACCTTCGTCCACAGAGGCTGCCTCTTAGAAGGAGCCGGCCCCATATCTGTGACAAGGCCCGCGCCTTCTAAGAAGCAGGGGTGCCTCTGAAAGGCCTTCCCCTCTCCCCCTACCCCCCTCTGCGCATGGCTGGGGGACGGCATGCCTCTCCTCGACAAAACACCTTGTCCCCACTGGTAACCTTCGCGATCTCCGCAGCGACATCGAAAACCGACCTCGAGGTTTGGCTTGGGTTCGCGTAGCCCGAAACGGCAGGAGGGGAATGGCGAAGGCAAGGAGGAGGACGAACACGACTCCTCGGAGAAGTGCCAACTCGGTCCTCCGCCCACTTGGAACTGCGGCAGGCATTACAAATAATATGCGCAGGCCTACTTTGCTTCTAGATGGCGCCATGGTTATAAGCCCAGGTATGGCTTCGAGCGATGAGGAGGAGGCTGAAGAAATCGATTTCAGGACCGATCGCCGCAGCTGAAGGCCTCACATAATCAAGCAGACTAAAGGCGCGTTAGAGCGCGCTGGCAAAACACGTGCACCGACGCCCTCAGCCCGCACGCGTCCAGATACAGAGACACGCACACGAAACACAAAAACACCAATTACGAACTCGAGTCATCAGATGAGGCGCACGTGTCGAACATACACGCGATGTCGCTTCGACGCAGAAGTGTGCGCTCCTGTTCGGCAAGAGCATGCTAGTATGTTCGTTGGAGAGCGTTGCCTTCTGCGGAACACTACGGATGCAAAATGCGAAAAGAACTGTCGCCACGAAATCGACGCGCCAGATCGGGGGGACAGGCCAAACCTACACTGACGTCCCGCTGACGTCCCGCTGACGCCGCGTTTACCGCTCGGACGATGAGGACATACATGGAGGGGGAGTGAAAGACGACGACATGGGGGGTTGAGAAGGGAAGGGCTCGACGACGGGCAGAAGGCGGGACTGATGGGTGGCATGATGGCGGTCCGTGCCGCTGCCTGCGAAGAGGACGACGAGGTGGAGGCCGGGGGGGAGGGATGCTGAAGACTAGAACGAGAAGGACTGGGACTGAGGATAACCAGCCTCAAGCTTGCCCCTGTCCCGGAGGTTGACAAGCCCGAGCGCGACGATCGGCACCGAAGGTGGGTGATGCCAATCGTAAAGAGAAGGATACGCTTCATGATGGAACGACGAGGAGGTAGAGGAGGAGGAGGACGAGGAGGGAGAGAAGTTGGAGAAGGATGCGGAAGAGGAGCACGAGGAGGACGATAAGGAGAAGCGCGGAGGAGGAGGAGGAGGAGGAGGAGGAGGAGGAAGAGGAGACGAAAAACAAACATACCAACAAAAACGAGCACCTTCAACGGTCGGCCGGTTTTTTCGGATCTGCGCCGGACTCCCCTCCCTGGAGCGCCAGGGGCGGCGCCGGAGGCGCTGCCAGGGGGGCCTGACGCCGATCCACGACACCAGCGCGGAGCTCCGACATATTATGTTGATACAAGTGGTTCTTCGTCGAGAGCGCCAGCAAGCACCATGGAGGCGAGGGCCTACAGCATGGTGCAGACAACAGATCCTACCGCAAGCTGCTCGCCTACTTGGAGCGCATGCCACAGGGAGTAACGTTGTCCAACTTGATGCTTACCATCGCGACTGGCGCCACGTGGCACGACACCGAGTATTTCAGGAGACAAAGATGCCAGACGTCGACGCCAAGTGCCCCAGGTGCGGCCTGGCTAATGAAGACGGCTTCCACCGCACCTGGGAATGCGAAAGCAATCCGGACAATCCCATCCTACAGGGCAACAACTATTTGCTGCCCGAAGCCTACGCCCAGCGGGACATGTACGAGTGTTTCTGGACTAGGGGCTTAATGCCCTCAGCATGGACGGCGGTACCACAACCGCCACAACATGAGCAGTGGTCGTGCCATGGTGTCGAGCATTTTTTCCCACAGTGTCTACGAGAGCCCGCCGACACGACACTTTACGCTTTCGGAGATGCAAGTGGCGGCCAGGACACCAACAACCCACATCTTCGTTGGGTAGGTGTCGGAGCTGCCATATTCTATAGTCTTGAGGGCAATGACATGGAGATTCGTGCTGCTTTCTGGGGCCCGTTACCAGGCCCCCATCAGACTGTACCCAGGGGAGAGCTTCTCGCTCTCGTCGCGACTGTGAAGGCCACAGACCAGGATCTCGTTTTTTTCACCGACAATGAAGCATGCTATCTCAATTTCCATCACGGCAAGGTCCAGGAACCTACAGGCAGTGACGCCGACTTATGGTTGAGAATGAAGAAGGCGACGGCACAACGGACAGGGTCGGTCACGGTTATCTGGGTACCTTCTCATGCGGAACCACAGGATATCATTCAAGGGAGGATTGCCTCGTCTTTGGCGGTGGGCAATTGTGTAGCAGACACTCTTGCTGGAATTGCAGCCAGTGAAGCACGTGTTTCACCAAAACACCGCCAACGGGTTGCGCTGGCCGAGCAAAAAGCTTTTTCAGGTTCGCATGAGGTTGTTACGGACGGCACTCGACACCCTCGAGGCCCAGAAGCGAGAGTTTCAGCGTCAGAGGGAGCAGCGCCCTAAGAGGCAGGTGGCGTCTAAGACCGACCGACCGCCTGCCCCTCGTTCTTGCGCACTTTTTGGGTCCCAACACTCTGTTGACCCCACAGGCTCTCAATGTACTAGGTGTTTTAGTTCCTCCAGCAAGGCCTCGAGGTCTCGTTGGCTCCTTTCTGAATGTTTTGAGCTCCTTAATATAGACGGCACTTATAAGGAGGCCCCTCATGGGAAGTCGGTCCATGTCGCGGGGGGGGGGTTATTCACAGCAGCCACCGTTCTCGGTTCCACGCTGGGCTGAATTTTTGGTTCTGTGTGGGGCTTATGCCCAGCTGGTTCTCGGGAAACTCGGGGAACCTTGCGGTAAGCTCACCCCCACGGGGCAGGAATACCTCCAGCGTATTTCCAAGGGGCTCTGGCCGAAGGCCCTCAGTCGAGCTGAGAAGGCCACAAGAGCTCACAACACCCCAGCTGGGGTGGCGGAAGTCTAATTACTCATATCGCTACGCGATCGGGCAGAGACTCCAGAGAGAGACTCCTCCTCTTGGTCCTCCTCCTCCTCCTCATCCTCCTCCTCCCCCTCCCCCCTCCCCCCCCCCCTCCCCCTCCTCCTCCTCCTCCTCCTCCTCCTCCTCCTTCCTCCTCCTCCTCCTCCTCCTCCTCCTCCTCCTCATCCTTCTCCTCCCCTCTCCTCCTCCTCCTCCTCCTCTTCCTCCTCCTCTTCCTCCTCCTCCTCTCCTCCCTCCTCCTCCTCCTCCTCCTCCTCCTCCTCCTCCTCCTCCTCCTCCCCCTCCCCCCTCTCCCTCCCCCTCCCCTCCCCCCTCCCCCTCTCCCTCCCCCCACCCCCTCCCCTCCCTCTCCCCCTCCCCTCTCCCCTTCCCCATCCCCCTCCTCCTCCTCCCCTCATCCTCCTCTCCTCCTCCTCGTCCTCCCTCGTCCTCCTCCTCCTCGCTCGTCCTCCTCCTCCTCGTCCTCGTCCTCCTCCTCCTCCTCCTCCTCCTCCTCCTCCGTCTCCTCCTCCTCCTCCTCCTTATCCTCCTCCTCCTCCTTCTCCTCCTCCTCTTGTTTGACACCGCCGGAACATAGGGCGGCAGCCTGGAGCGTTATGGCCTCGTCATCCTTCTCCTTTTCCTTCTCATCATTCCTCATTCCTCTTCCTCCTCCTCCTCCTCCTCCTCCTCCTCCTCCTCCCTCTACCTCTTCCTTTTCCTCCACCCTCCTCCTCCTCCTTCCTCCTCCTCCTCCTCCCCTCCTCCTCATCCTCATCCTCCTCCTCCTCCTCCTCCTCCTCCTCATCATCATCATCAGCATCTCATCATCATCCTCATCAGCATCATCATCATCATCATCATCATCATCATCATCATCATCATTCATCATCAAGCATCATCACATCAGCATCAGCAGCATCATCAGCATCATCAGCATCATCAGCATCATCATCATCACATCATCAATCAGCACCATCACCATCACCATCGCCATCATCATCATCATCATCATCATCCATCATCATCATCATCATCATTCATCAATCAGCATCATCATCCTCACCATCAGCAACATCATCACATCAAGCAGCATCATCACATCATCGTCATCGTCATCGTCATCGTCATCCGTCATCAGCATCATCACATCATCATCATCATCATCATCATCATCATCATCATCCTCATCCTCATCCTCCTCCTCATCATCATCATCATCATCGTCATCCTCCTCCTTTTCCCCGTCCCCCTCCTCCCCCACCGCCTCCCCCTCCCTCTCCTCCTCCTCCTCCTCCTCCTCCTCCTCCTCCTCCTCCTCCTCCTCCAGCTCCTCATCAGGCCTTCTTCTTCCTCCTCCTCCTCCTCCTCCTTCTCCTCCTCCTCCTCCTCTTCCTCCTCAGGTCATCCTTATCCTCCTCCGCCTCCTCCTCATCATCCTCCTCCCCCTCCTCCACGCTCGTCCTCCTCATTTTTCATCCTCCTCTACACCTCCTCCTCGTCCTCCCCTCCTCCTCCTCCTCCTCCTCCTCCTCTTCCCTTCCTCCTCCTCAGGTCCTGCTCCTCCTCCTTCCTTCCCCCCCTCCTCCTCCTCCTCCTCCTCCCCTCCTCTCCTCCTCCTCCTCCTCCTCCTCCTCCTCCTCCTCCTCCTCCTCTTCCTCCTCCTCCTCCCCCCTCCTCCTCCTCCTCTCCTCCTCCTCCTCCTCCTCCTCCTCCCTCCTCCCTCCTCTCCTCCCTCCTCCTCCTCCTCTCCTCCTCCTCCTCTTCTCCTCCTCCTCCTCCTCCTCCTCCTCCTCGTCCTCCTCCTCCCCTCCTCCTCCTCCTCCGCCTACTCCTCATCCTCCTCACGCTTCGCACACGTAGCGCGGCAGTCTGGAGTGTCCTCCATCCTGCTCATTCTCCCCCCCTCCTCCTCCTCCTCCTCCTCCTCCTCTCCTCCTCCTCCTCCTCCTCCTCCTCCTCCTCCTCCTCCTCCTCCTCCTCCTCCTCCTCCTCCTCCTCGCCTCCGCCTCCGCCTCCCCTCCGCCTCCGCCTTTCCTCCATTTCCTCTTCGACCACCTCCCCCTCCTCAGGAGTTCCTCCTCCTCCTCCTCCTCCTCCTCCTTCTCCTCCTCTTCGTTAGCGCAGGCGCGACGGTTTCCTATGAGCGTCGTATCCTCTTGCTCCTCTTCCCTGACGGTGCGCAAACTCAGTCCGGCAGCCTGACAAGGTCGTCCTCCTCCTCCTCCTCCTCCTCCTCCTCCTCCTCATTGTCCTCCTCCTCCTCCTCCTCCTCCTCCTCCTTCTCCCTCCTCTCCTCCTCCTCCTCTTCTTCCTCCTCCTCCTCCTTATCCTTCTCCTCCTCCTCCTCGTCCTCCTCCTACTCCTCCGCCTCTTCCTCCTCCTCATCCTTCTCCTCCTGCTCCCGCTGCTCCTCGACCTCCTCGACATCCTTCTCCTCCTGCTCCTCCTCCTCCTGCTCCTGCTCCTCGATATCTTCATCCTGCTCCTCGTCCTTGTCCTCCTCGTCCTCCTCCTCGTCCTCGTCCTCCTCCTCCACGCTCGTCCTCCTCCCCCTCCTCATCCTCGTGCTCCTCCTCCTCCTCCTCCTCGTCCTCCTTCTCTTCCTCGTCCTCGTCCTCCTCGTCCTCCTCGTCCTCCTCGTCCTCCTGCTCCTCCTCCTCCTCCTCCTCCTCCTCCTCCTGCTCTTGTTCCACACTGCGCAAACTCAGGGCGGCAGCCTGGAGCTTTTTCTCATTCTCTCCTCCTCCTCCTCCCCCTTCCGCTCCTCCCGCTCCTCCTCCTCCTCCTCCTCCACCTCCTCCTCCTCCTCCTCCTTCTTCTTCCTACAGCCCTGGAAGACTAACGTCCGTGGCGTCCATACATGCACGAGAGACACAGCCCAATCTCGCCCGCAAGAACCTGGCAACGCTGCACTCGCCCGAAAGAACGAGTAGCACATGAAACAAGGACCCTAGACGGGAAGCGCAACCCCAACATGCATGGGGGCGCCAGCGACCAAGACGAGAAGCGCAACCCAACGGACGACGCGGGGCGCAAGGAATGGCGTATGGGGGCACAAGAATGGATTCACTAGGCGCGCCAAGAATGCAGCTAAGCGCCACTCGCTGGTAGACGATCTCAGGACTCCTGGCGGCCGTGTGGCAGTACATCTTGTCGAAGGCTGTCTTGTCGCTGAGTAGCGGTAGGAAGACAGCGGCCACCCCAGGCCGCCCTTCTTGAGCAGCGAGGTCGTACAATATCTGGAACGCCTGGTCATTAGCAACTGGGCCCACATGTTGGCACTCGAAAGCGGCCTTTTGGAACGCCATGCCGAGAGACTTTTTCGTATGGGAGCCGATCGGCTCAAGACAATATGCCTTGGCACGAATGGACTCCGCACCAGTCTTGAAGGCCCAGCGGTCAGCAGCGTCGTCGTAGAAGCTCAGGGTGCCTTCACGACCATTTAGCAGCGGCCTACCCTTGAGGCCAACGCGGCGCGCGGCCATGCCTGGAACGAATGTGTGCTTCTCGCCGTGCTGCTGAGAAGCAACGGCCTTTCCGTGCCGCTGGGGCCTCACCACATCAATATCAGTCTCCGCCTTGGCACAGGGTTCGCTCTCCATCGCCGCAGAGCCCGAGCCAGTCGCGCCACCTTCACCAGGAAGCTGCACGCTGGACGACTCACCCTTCTCGTGCGCCAGGACTGGCCCGATGGACTCGGCGTGCGTCTGGCGCTCGGAGCCCTCCTCCGCCGCAGAACGCATGGCCGGCTGCGTACCAGAGAAGCCTTCGAAGAAAACCGGAAGGGGCTTCACGACAAGACGGATGCGGGACTCGCCTTTGGAGTTCTTGTGCCCGTGGTCCACGATACTAGCGTTGTCGATGTCCAGCAACACCATGTGAAGCAAACTTATCATGAGGCTGTTCCGCATAGTCGGCTCCCAGACGGGGAACAGGCAGATCTGCATGATCAGCTTGTCGCTGTGGCTGCACAGTTTGACAACACCTTGGCGGCCATTCGCTAGCTCCTGGATGATCCAATGGAGCCTGGCTGCTGAGACCATGGCGGCGCGGGGGGCAAGGGGGGAGAACAATGGCTCGCAAGTGCAAGCGAATGGCCCCTCCTCGGGCAGACGCCTGAGCCACAGGGGTTTCCTCCTCCTCCTCCTCCTCCTCCTCCTCCTCCTCCTCCTCCTCCTCCTCCTCCTCCCCTCCCCCCCCCCCCCCTCCTCCTCCTCCTCCTCCTCCTCCTCCTCCGGAGAGGAGGGCATGGAGAGCAGTGCGCGCAATCACTCCGTGCCCGTCCGTCGGGCCGTCGCGTCGCAGAGCTCGCGGAGCAGGCGCTCGACGCGCTCCTGCGGTGCGGGCGGAGCGGGGCTGGGCGGGGGGCGGACGGAGAGTGGGCGGGGCGGGGGAGCGGGGCCAGACGAGGTTACAGGTGGGCGAGGAGAAGTCGAGCATCTCTGAGATCGGGCGGCATCTGAAAAATGCATTGGGCACCGCGGCCTCCCCAGAGCCTTCCGGAACGCCACGAGAGCGTCCTGGACCGCCCTGAAACTGAGTTACCCTCGTCATAGACTCGTCCGACTTCGTCGTCCCGTGTCGTCCCCTCTCCCCGTCGTCGCGCTCGTCGGCCTCATCATCGGCCGGATCGAGCCGTTCTGTCCAGGCCCCCTCCCGAGCCGCCTCCTTGGTGTGCGCAGGGAGGGGGCAACAGCTAACCCCCCTGCCTTCCTGCAGGACAGAGGCAGCCAGTTTCGCCTCGGGTGGAGAGAGGAGGGAGGGGGGGCCTCCGTCCTCTCAACTGGACAGGATGGGTGTGACGCAGCATCGTTGATACATGATTGATTACCCTCGTCCTCCTCACCCCTTCTCCTCCAGCCTCCACCTCAGCCTCCTTCCTTCTCTTCCCTGCCTCCCTCCCGTCGTTCAGAATGGCGCTCTCGCCCAAACGTGGGCCACTTTTCTGGATCCCACAAGCCTCGCAGGTCCCACAGGTCTCGCAGGTCTCGCAGGCCCCCCAGGTCAATCCACAAGCGTCGCAGGTCGTCCCACAGGTCGCACAGGCACCACAAGTCTGACAGGTTCAACAAGTGTCGCAAGTCTCGAAGGTCTCGCAGGTCCCACAGGTCCAGCAGGTCCCACATGTCGAAAAGGTGTCGCAGTTACAGGTCCCGCAGGTCACCCCTGCTGCTACGAGGGTGCTCTGCTAGGGTAAAGGAGCTCCTGATCGGCTATGACGCGCGTCCGCGGATAGAAACAAATCAGCGAAATGGGAAGGGATGGGAGGGAAGCATAGGATGTCAAATATGGCGCGAGCGCACTTAACTTGTCCTGTGCCCATCTCACCTCCTCCCGCTGGCGCCCCCTTTTCAGACGACTGAAATGGGTACGATGCAGAACGACAACTGTTGTCCTAAACCGACACTGGCCGATGTTGGACACGCGGACTGGGACGGGAGGAGCGCTACGTTATGAGGGGGAGGGGTGGAGGGGGGGGGGTATGACGCGCGGAACGGCCAAGAGGGAAAACAAAACCACTCTCAACCCATCTCGATCGTACCGATCCCTGGCCTTAGGTCGGGCATGTCCCCCCACAGGCGGATTCTGGGCGAACGCAAAAAAGTCGAACCACACACCAAAATAGCAGAAAAATGCCAGAACCGCTCGTCCCCAGACTATGTTGTTGATAACCTTGTTGCTTGAATGTTCCCCCTGTAGAGGGACGTGCCGACTTCACCAGGGCTATCAGCCTGGAACATATCTCTATCCCTATGCTGGGCACCTCCTCATCACGATGCCAATGGCAGGGATTCCCTTATTGTTTGAGGGTGAATCCCGAAGATTGTCATCGCCTTTTGGCGTGTCAATCTTAGGGATAGGGATACGTTCGAGGCTGGTAACGTGCCCGACTTCACCATGGCCTCGTGGCTGTGCAGGTTGGTGAAGACGCGGTCGAGCTGCTTCGCCAGAATGTCTGGGACCCGGCTCGGCTCCTGGCCTCGGCACGCCGCGCGCGCGCCCTCCCAGGGTGAGCCTCCTCCTCCAGCTCCCCCTCCCCCTCATCCTGCCTCCCTCGTCCGCCTCCCTCGTCCTGCTCCCTCGTATTCCTCCTCCCCCTCCTCCTCCCCCCCCTCCTCCAACTCTTCCTCCCCTCCCCCTCTTCCTCTCTTCGTCCCCCTCCTCCTGCATCTGCATCTCCTTCATCGTCCCCCTCCCCCTGCATCTTCGCTTAGGTCGGGCATGTCCTCCTACTGGCGGATTTTGGAAGAACGAACAAAGTCAACAAAACATAACCAACTGCCAGAAATAGTAGAAACATCGTCCCCAGACTATCAGAACTATTCTTGAGTTTTCCTCCTGTAGCAGGGCACGCCCGACTTGAATCTACGCCTATTGCTCCTCGGAGTCCTCCTCTGCACAGTCCTCCGCGTTCACACTCTCGGTCCCCAACCGTCGTCCCTCCTCCTTGCTGTTCCCCTCGTCCTCATCGTCGACTCCTCCTTCCTCGTCCCTGTGCGTCTTATCCACATCGTCCTCCTCTTCGACCGAGGGCGATCGGAATAAGAACCAACAAACGTTCGAATCACCTTATCAACGGAGAATCCACACATCGATTTCCTCACCATGTCTTCCCGTGCCAGTCGTCTTTCCCTGGTCCGCAGCGCGGAGGTCAACCGACGAACCATCCCATACTTTCATCGGAAAGGCCGTCGGCCCAGAGACTGGGTCTTCATCATCCAATTGCTCTTCCTTCTCTGTCTTCTCTGCGACCTTCGAACGCTCCCCCTCGCACTGCATGGGCAGCCGTCACTTCCGCGCGTCATTGGCCAAGAGCGCTGGGTTAGCCGACGGATCTTGCTAGGCCAACACGACCCTTCAGCCTGCTTGTCATCTTTCCATTGATGCCCCTCCCCACATCCCCTCCTTGCATCGGCGGCGAGCTGGGGGGGGGAGTGAGGAGGGAAGGGCCTCCTGAAAGACTGGGGAGTCCCCTGGCCTTCTGACAAGTGTTCTAAGCCTTCCCCGAAGACGCAGACCACTTCTTACAAGGCGCGCGGGGTTCTGAGAAGTCTCGCCGCCTTCGGAGGTCTCCTCCTTCTCAATTCCCCTCCCTCGCTCGCCGCCGACTGCAGGAGTCAAGAAGCACCTCCTCCCTTTCCTACTCCTCCATCATATCACTTGCCATTCGAGAAGGGGTCCCAGAAGAAACGGGTCCTGGACCCTGGGGTTCGCCCCGGGCCGCCACATGTCGTCTTCGGTTGCTGCTTTGACTGTCCCTGGGATGGGACAGGGCCCTGGGAGGCCGAAAGCGTCGCGGCATACCGTAAAGGGGCGAATGCAGTGGGGGCCCGACCACAAGAAACCTTCCACAAGAAACCCAACCCTGAGAACCCGAAAAAACCCATCGATGCTTGGTGTTGGAACGTCACGCTTTCCATGGCAAAACCCTCGAAACCCAAGAAACCCAGGGCACCCTGGAGGCGAGCAGGGTGTTCCTTGGCATGGGCCTCCACTGTATCTTCGGCGAGGCTTAGGGGGGCCTGGAGACGACAGGGCCGTTTTTTTCACCGGTTCCGTTTTGCCGTTTTTTTGCAGGTTCCGACGCCGTTTTTGTTACCGGTTCCGTCGCCGTTTTTTGACCAGCTCCGGCTCCGGTTCCAATCCTGGAGCCGTTTCTTTGCCGTTTCCGGTCGCCGTTATTTTGCCGCTCCCATGTTCAAGGGACATTCTTTTGGGGGCACGGTGAAAAAACGGCCCTGCCGCTTCCGGGGCCCACAGAGCGGCGAGGCACCCCCCGCGAACGCCGGCATCGCTCTCCCCCCCCCTGGGCTCTTCGCCCCCGCTCCGCTGGGGCCCGGGCGCTCGAAGCACCAGAGCATGCCCAGGTCCAGCGCCGGCGCCCCCTGGATCTGGCGCGTGAAGTGCGTGTGGCACTCCTGCGCGGGGCGCGCGCGGTGGAGGGGGGGCGCCTCGGCCTCATCATCATCATCATCATCATCATCATCATCATCATCATCATCATCATCATCATCATCATCATCATCATCATCATCATCATCATCATCGCCCGAGCGAAGGGAGGAACTCCAGAGCTCCAACTGCGAGCCTCGAGGCATTTTGTGGCACTCCTGCGCGGGGCACTCCTGCGCGGGGCGCGCGCGGTGGAGGGGGGCGCCTCGGCCAGGGAGCCCACAGAGGACGTGCGCGCCCAGCTATGTACATGAACACGGCCCCTCGATCCGCGAGACCGGCCGCGTTATGCGAACATTCGCGCAATGCGTACTCTCGAAAGCAGCGTGGATTCATGTACGTGTACGTCCTTTTGTCGCTCCTGATCGGCGGCGAGCGAGGAGAGGAACTCCAGGGCTCGAACTGCGAGCCTCGAGGCATTTTGTGAAAGAGTCGTCGGCCTCTGGGGGGGGGCTGCCGTCGGGCCCCCGGGGCCGCTCAGACGCGATCCCGGAAGAGAAACCGCGGCGGACAGACCACGGCGAGGGTCAGGGCTGGGAACCGACATTGACTGAGATCTGGCGGCGCGCCCAGGGGGGGGCAAGTGCGCGGGGGCCCACGGGATCGACTACAGAATTGACTGTATGGCACTCCTGCGCGGGGTGCGCGGGGTGTGCGCGTCGTACAACGGCTCGGCAGCTGTTGTCAACCTACTGGGCCCCTAGAGTTGTCGGCGAGCGAGGGGGGGGCGTGAGGAGGAGGCATTTCGGCGATGGACCCTTTCACAATCCACCCTTTAGTGAATATGGCCCAGGACCGAAACCGACGGACCTGGACCCGCACAAATGACGGCCGCGACGCCCTCTCGCGAACCGAAAAGGGCCAATGCGCTAATGGACGAGTCAGGGAAGGAGGTCTACCAACCTCCGAGCATTCTCAGAAGGCACGTGGCTTCTCAGAAGCCCTCCAGCCTCCTGAGAAGCACTCGCTGTCCTCGGAGAAGCTTCGAGGGCGAAAGGCCTTCCGAGCCTCCTGGGAAGGCCGCCCCTTCTCAGTTCTCCCCCCAGGCTCGCCGACGAACGTAGAACTCGGGGGCGTCCAGGGGGGTGGGTGTGTCAAAGAAGCGGGTTCGCAAAGCATGACCCGAGGCACGTGTGGCCCCAGGGGGGGGGACCAGGGGACAGACCGAACGGAGAGAAAGAGGGCCGTTAGTGGTCATGGAAATATCGCAGGGCTGAACCTAAACGGTGTTTTTCGTTTTCGTCTTTGTCTTCGCTTTCCTTTGTTTTGTCTCCAATCCGCCTATACCGCAAAACGAAGTCGAAACGAAACCGGCCCACGAAATCGCAAAAACACCGTTTCGGTCCAGCCCTGAAACATCAGGTCCCCGGCCACGAGATCCCCCCCCTAGTCACCACCCCCTGCTTGGCCGCGGCCGGCCCCTGCGCGGCCGGCGCGCAGTGGAGGGGAGGCAGCGCAGCAACGGGGCGGCGACGCGGGGAGGTGCCGACCTGGGCCCGACGAGCGACACCATGGCATCGACATGGGGACTCCGCAAAAAACGCACGCGCCCAACCACGTACAGTCGGGGCGTTGACCTAAGGAACCCTAAATAAGGAACGAGGCCCCTGTTTTCCATAAGTGAAACTTCGATCTCCGATTGACTAGAGAAGGAAAACCTGACGCAAGCTGTGAAACACTTAAGGAACGCGGAGCCCATCCCCAACCAAAAGGGTTCCTTCTTCAAGGCCCCGACTGTACATGAATACGGCCACCTAGTCCACGAGACCACCCTCATGATACGAACGCTCGCGCAACGCGTACCTTCGAAGCTCCATGGATTCACGTATGTGTACGTCCTTCGTTGGCACCTGAAAGCAGAACTTTCGGGCCCGCGTGGATGCTCCGAACAATTCGCCTCTGCCACGTTTTGTTTCTCGAACCCTGCTCGGGGGGGTGGGGGGCGCAGCAGTGGAAGGGAAGCAAAACAGAACGAACCTGAGACGCTGACTCGAACGAGGAAGCGGTGGCGCGTCCGATGCCCATTGTAAATGCAACGTCGTTGGTCACCACATCACGGTCGACATAGTGGCCCACAGCTGTCAGCGAGGTGAAGGACAGCAGTCCTCGCTCGAACGCAGAGGCATTCCGAGGATGCGCAGCTCAGACACGACCCCCTGTTCAGGGCAGCGTGCCCCCGGTGGGGCCGTGAACCGGCGCGGAAGCTGTTCCCTCGCTGCGGCAGTGGCAGTGAAGCTCGAAGACAACGACCCTGAGGAAGGGGGGCAACCGCACATGTTTGGACGTGTGGCGCCTTGGGTCCAGGCGAGCGACGATCAATAACTAACGAGTCTTGCGCGACATGACGCTGCGACCTCACTCAGCGGCTGACGCGGGCCGCCAGGAGAAAAGGCGCTCACGCGCGACCTCGCGCGGGCAGCTTCCGCGCCAAACCCCGTTTTTTTGTTCGTCGCTCACATGTTTTGATCCTGCGGCGCCCCAGGTCCAGGTTGCGGTCGAGCTGCAGCAGGGCTGCTCTCGAGCGAATCCGGCGCACAGGCGGAATGAGCGGCGAAAGAGAACAATGTTTAGGGTATCTGCCGCAGCGCACACACTCAGTCAACTTCCCATGTCTACACCAGCGGGCCAGTCATGCATGCAAAGAGGAGGGAGGAGCCAAAAAAAGAAGCGAGGACGGGCCACGAAGAGGATTTTTTCCTCTGCGAGCCAGTGGGCAGGACCGAGGGCGGCGACAGTTCGCCGACACGCGCACAAGATGTGCGCCAAACAAGACCGTGCACGGATGACCAACTTGTTAGGTCAATCGCAGTCCTCACAAACAATCCAGAGTCCACATCCGTCGGCATAGCGAGCGGGGCCTTGCCCGCAGATGGGGCGAGGCCGTGTGGATCTGGCGTAAGGCTGCGACCTCTGCAGAGAGCCGAACGGAGGCAGCCTACCCTGCACGATGACGCGTGCCCCACGCGAGCGACAAGAGATGTTGGGGCCCTGAACCAAAGCTCAAGGGCCGCAGCAACACCAGACGAGCCACTGTCAGGATGAAGTCATCCCCGTGCTCGGAACAAGAAGACGCGCACCCCAGGTGTGCATGCTCCTTCCCCCAGAAGTGGGTGCCTGACACGCGTGCACGACGGACGCACGCACAACGAGAACGTACACCAACTGAACTAGGAGAAGATTCGACCACCCACAAAATGACGACGAGCCCAACAGTCCCTGGTGCAGCCAGCGCCAGGACGACCATCGGGCTCGTCCCAGATGTGGGGTAGAGCACGGATGCCTGCCAAAAGGGCCAGCCGCATCGAGCCGTGCCGAGCAAAAACAACGGCGAACCCTCGCCACAGGGAAGAATCGACCACCCACACAAGGACGACGAGGCCAGAAACCCCTGGTGCAAACAGCGCCAGGACGGCTGCCAGACTCGCCCCAGATGTGGGGTTTAGCACGGATGCCTGCCAAAAGGGTCAGTTTATCGGGCCGTGCAAGTAAATGACAAATGACGGGTGTCCTTGCGCCACAACGTCAAACTGGACTGTCAATCTTTGTCTGTCGTCTGTGGGGTTCTCCCGCGCGCCATTTCACGAGCCTGGATACGCGCCAGAACCGCCAGCATCCCAGGCGTCTGCACCAGTCCCTCCATCCCGAAAGCAGGCCTTGAGACCTCTGGAGGGGGCGGAGTGGTGGCAGCGTAACAAAGATAGTTCACTCCCCTTCGAGAAGTGGCCGAAACACGATCATCCTCGTTTCTATAGTGAGGGTGGAGGCCAGACATGATCCTAGGGAGGGTCGTCTTAGCCCCTGGAAGCTTCTTGCCGATACATTCTTGACCGAGCATGAAGCATCGGCGGGACGTGTACGCCCCGCACGTGGTACAAAACATCATGCTAGAAACTTTATGCTTGCGCGTGACGAACGTGTGCGCGAGAGTGTGGCCTTTGGTGAAATCAAGAAACCCCTTCCAAGTGCGATTCGGCCCTCGGCAGCCTAGTTCAGGCCGACTGTCAGGGTCACCACTAAACTGAAGGCATCGCAAACACCTGGCACGGCCCCCGTCGAGGTTTTCCCAGTGGTGCCAGCCTCCGGTCCGTAAAAAATTACATCTCGGTCCAGACTGGGGCCGCTCGGGCCACAAAGAGAAGCGAGAGAAGCAAAGAGGAGGAACAGCGGCGCGGCAAGAGGAAGACCGCGGACGGCGGGGGCACCGTGAACACATAGGTAGATACAAGCACGGCTGGCGCTGGACCCTTGGGCGTCGCATGCGCTGGGAGCGATCAAGGGGTAATTAGAGCCCTACTAGAGGGCCCCTGTACTTGGTGGCCCGCAGGGCTCCATTTCTGCAGCCCTCGCCGCACCCCCATGTATGGCCCCCCCATGACGGGACGCCAGAGATCGGGGATCTACGGACCCGGGTCAATCCACACCTGGGCCGGTCAGGCCCTGCAAGATCCTGCAAGGTCCTGCAGGCTCCTGCAGGATCCTGCACGCTGACCCGGGTCAGTGCGCCCCTGGCTCTGCAGGGTCCAGCAGAATCCGCCGCCTGGCTGACCCCTGTTTGCATTGACGCTCATCTCTCGAGCCCCGACAAGACCACCTCCCCACATCCCCTCCCTGGCACGCGACGTGCGCCAAAAATGCCGTTCCGTGGACGGGGGTCGGGCGCCAGAGGAGAGTTCCTTTCGCGGACGTGCGACGCGCTTGTTCTGTCGGGTGCTTCTCACGCCCCCGTTCCCCCCCGGACATCCGACGTCACCAACAGGTGATGTGCCGACCCCTATCCCATTCTTCGTGGGGTTTCGAATGGACCCACACTTTTGAGCCCAACTTTTGGATATACGCTGGGGGGGCGTCCATCCTCGATTGGGGTGCGTTCGAATAGCCCCCTTGGTGTGAATCCCATGAGGCCGGGCAGGTTGAAAGAACCTGCCGTGCCGATGTAATAATGAGGACTTGTTTGCCCCGGGTTGTG